CACCTATTCCAACCAGAGAGCACTTTACATTCACTGAGAAAATGCAGAGCATTCTGTGATTGGTGCCGTACCGAGTGTCGTGAACTCCTATGTTCACAATGCAGTAGGGCAGCTGTTTAGCTTGGGACCCAGAAGCAAGTGGAGATCACTTGAGTATTGGGGTCTGCTACAGTGAATTCCAAATCAAAAGAAACCCTCGTGATCTGCCACTGATAAGTCAGTATACAGTAAGAAAGTATGTATATGAAGGTTAGAGCTGCTGCAGACACCAAAATGTGTTCCCATTTAAGGAAAAATATGGTAAAACAGTGTTGCGCTACTCCTAAAAAATCTCTAGTAACCTTATAAACGAAAATCCATGTGATGAACTGAATGGAAAAAAAAATCAAAAAACTCAGAGATTATAACCAGCAAGTGAAATAAAATGCAAATGTAAACACCTGGCAGAGCGCCTCCACAAATAACCTCATATATGTGGAGCAATGTGATAAACTAAATGGAAAAAGAAAATCAAAGGAGACTCCGTGAAAGATGATAAACGGCAAGTGAAAGTACATGCAAAAGTAAACACCTGGCAGAGCTCCTACAAAAATAATGAAAATAACAAAATCTGAATTTGTTTAGGGTACAATAAACAACCTCCTAAACATAATCAATAAAATGTGTATGTATAGAATAAATCCAATCTCATGCATGTGGATGGGCGATGGTAAATATAAACCACCGGCTAAGATTAAACCAATGCAAATATGCTGCTCAAAAAAATTAAAGGAACACTTTTTAATCAGAGTATAGCATCAAGTCAGTGAAACTCCAGGGATATTGATCTGGTCAGTTAAGTAGCAGAGGGGGTGTTAATCAGTTTCAGCTGCTTTGGTGTTCATGAAATTAACAACAGTTGCACTATATGGGGAACAATGAGACGACCCCCAAAACAGGAATAGTTTTACAGGTTTAGGGCACTGACATTTTTTTCCCTACTCATCTTTTCTGACTGTTTTTCACTAGTTTTGCATTTGGCTAGGGTCACTGTCACTACTTGTAGCATGAGGTGATACCTGGACCCTACAGAGGTTGCACAGGCAGTCCAACTCCTCCAGGATGGCAGAGCAATACGTGCCATTGCCAGACGGTTTACTGTGTCTCCCAGCACAGTCTCAGGAGCATGGAGGAGGTTCCAGGAGACAGGCAGTCACTCTAGGAGAGCTGGACAGGGCCGTAGACGGTCCTTAACCCATCAGCAGGACCGGTATCTGCTCCTTTGTGCAAGGAGGAACAGGATGAGTACTGCCAGATCCCTACAGAATGACCTCCAGCAGGCCAATGGTGTGAATGTCTCGGACCAAACAATCAGAAACAGACTTCATGAGGGTGGCCTGAGGGCCCGATTTCCTCTTGTGGGCCCTTTGCTTACTGCCCGGCACCATAGAGCTTGATTGACATTTGCCATTGAACACCAGAATTGGCAGGTCCACCAATGGCGCCCCGGGGCTTTTCACAGATGAGAGCAGGTTCATCCTGAGCACATGTGACAGACGTGAAAGGGTCTGGAGAGGCCGTGGAGAACATTATGCTGCTTGAAAAATCGTTCAACGTGACCGTTTTGGTGGTGGATCAGTGATGGTTTGGGGAGGCATATCCATGGAGGGCCACACAGACCTCTACAGGCTAGACAATGGCACCCTGGCTGCCATTAGGTATTGGAATGAAATCCTTGGACCCATTGTCAGACCCTACGCTGGTGCAGTGGGTCCTGGGTTCCTTCTGGTGCATGACAATGCCCGGCCTCATGTGGTGAGAGTATGCAGGCAGTTCCTGAAGGATGAAGGAATTGATACCATTGAATGGCCCCCATGCTCGCCTGACCTTAATCCAATAGAACACCTCTGGGATATCATGTTTCAGTCCATCGGACACCGCCAGGTTGCACCTCAGACTGTCCAGGAGCTCAGTGAAGCCCTGGTTCAGATCTTGGAGGAAATACCCCAGGACACCATCTGACATTTCATTGTCGTTGTCAGGCATGCATACAAGCACGTGGGGGCAAAAAAGGTATTGCATTAACACATGTTTTGCTATACACATGTTTATTCCCTTTGTATGTATTGGAACAAAATAAAACAGAGAAAAGCATACAAAAAACTACTGAGTACCATATTGAGTTGCTGCAATAAAATGGACTAGTCTGCTGCATCGTTTTTTCACTTTGATTTTCAGGGTGTCTTTGAATTCAGTTCTCTGTAGGTTGATAATTTTCATTTCCATCAAACGATGGGACATCCTTACATTCCTAACACATTACCCAGTCCATTTCAGTATAGAGATCCAGCATGAGATTTTTCCCCATTGAGATTTGATGTGTTTTCAAAGTGTTTCTTTAATTCTTTTGAGCAGTGTATATAAAATGAATGAGATAAATGAACAAATAATGTGAGTAAATGATAATCATATACAGAGCCTTGAAAAAGTATCATATCCCTTGAAATGTTCCACATTTTGTCATGCCTTGTTTTATTGGGAATGATAGACCAACATTGGCACACAGTTGGCCGAAATTGTTGGCACCCTTGATATTTTTCCTGAAAATCAAGTATTTCAACAAAAAAGGTATTGCATTAAACATGTTTTGTACACATGTTTATTCCCTTTGTATGTTTGGAACAAATTGGATGTTTTATGTGACCCAAAATCCTTTGGTAATATTTGGTTGACCAACATAAGTGAAAATAAAGTACCGAAAGGCACATAGTCTTGCTTTTTTGTGGTCTCCTGCCAGTCTGGAAGGAAACATGATTGGAAATGGGCTCATTTGGCCACTTCAAAGTGACCAGGGAGATAGCTACAGGGCCATTGTCAAACTGCTTTGGACAAAGGCAAACAAATATTTATCCGCATTGTGAAAGGGTGCCAATACTTTTGTCATTTTTTGAAAAAGTGTGAGAAATACATGATTTCTGGAGAAATATCAAGGGTGCCAACAATTTCGGCCATGACTGTAATTGTGAAGTGGAAGGAAAATGATAAATGTTTTCAAAGTTTTTACAAATATCTGAAAAAGTGTGGGACACCTCTCACCCGGAATTTTGGCTTCTTTGCAAACAGCTCCAGGTCTCTCTTATTGGAAGGACACCTTTTCCCAACAGCAATTTTAAGATCTCTCACAGGTGTTCAATGGGATTTTTCAGAACTCTCCCAGCGCTTCTTTGCCATCCATTCTGAGTGCTTTTTGACGTATGTTTGGGGTCATTGTCCCTGCTGGAAGACCCAGGATCTTGGACGCAAACCAGCTTTCTGACACTGGCCCGGGGGGCCCCCTACAGTGCGACCCAAAATCCTTTGGTAATCCTCAGATTTCATGATGCAGCAAAACAACCCCAAAACATCATTGAACCTCCACCATATTTTACCGTAGGTACTGTGTTTTGTTCTTTGTAGGCCTCCCTTTAGTAAACTGATACCCCTAACTAAAATCCAGTGGAACCAATTGCCTTCAGAAGTCACCTAATTTAGTAAATAGAGTCTGCCTGTGTGTAATTTAACTATTTCGGTATAAATCCAGCTGTTCAGAGGTTTGTTACAGAACATTAGTGAACAAACCGCATCATGACAGGCCAAGGAACACACCAGTCAGGTCGGGGATAAAGTTGTGGATAAGTTTAAAGCGGTGTTAGGTTATGAAAAAATACCCAAGCATGTGAACATCTCATGGAGCACTGTTCAATCCATCATCTGAAAATGGAAAGAGTATGGTGAAAACAACTGCAAACCTACCAAGACATGGCCATCCACCTAAACTGACAGGCTGGGTAAGGAGAGCATTATTCAGAGAAGCAGCCAAGAGGCCCATGGCAACTCTGGAGGAGCTGCAGAGATCCACAGCTCAGGTGGGAGAATCTGTCCACAGGACAACTATTAGTCAGGTGTGCACTCCACAAATCTGGCCTTTATGGAAGAGTAGCAAGAAGAAAGCCATTATGAAAGAAAGCCATAAGAAGTCCCATTTTCAGTTTGCGAGATGCCATGTGGGGGACACAGCAAACATGGGGAAGAAGGTGCTCTGGTCAGATGGGACCAAAATGTTTACTTTTTGGTCTAAAAGCAAAACGCTATGTGTGGCAGAAAACTAACAAAAACTACATATCACTCTGAACACACCATCCCCACCGTGAAACATGGTGGCAGCATCATGTTGTGGGGATGCTTTTCTTCGACAGGGAAGCTCGTCAATGTTGTTGGAAAGATGGATAGAGCCAAATACAGGGCAATCTTAGAACAACAATCATGTGCAGGTACTGGGTACAGTAAGATGGCGGCTTCCACCCACAATCAGAAATGACATCACCACACTTCTGTCCTATGTGGTGCTTCACATGTCATGTGACTTTATCAAGGCATTGAATATCTTTTTATATTTTTTTCAATCTTTATAAAGTTCCATTACCTTATTACGCGATCTTTTTACAGTGCTTTACTGCTCCCCATGGCTCAGTATCTAGCCTGCTTAGTGCATCCACGTGAGAGCTAATAAACGCAATGACTATTTAAATAAAGACACTAATTGCAATTTAAAAATCCACAGATGTGGAAAGTTAACCTTTAATTTCCATTTTTAACCTTTGTGTGTGTGTGTGTACCAAGGCCAAACATTCTAGTGTAAGTAAACTTTTCATCATGGCCATTTGAGTGATGTCTGTTATAATTATGATTTAAAAATGAGCAAAACAACTATGTGATAATAAATGGCTTCATATGATCACTACCCTTAAAAGACAGTTTTTGGCATGATCAGTCATATTTTCAATATCAATGATAACATTTCACAATTTCTGCCAGGGTATGCAAACATTTGCGCACAACTATACATTGTGCTTGCCACAGGTGTGAATCCCACTCTGTAATTGTACCTCCTTTGTCAATTTTTTTGTTCTGTTTTTCATTAAAAAAATGAATCAAGGGAATTTTCTTTTTTTCTGTAGGTGTGCTGCCAATAAACAACAAGGATGGCATCAGAAAGGATGGATGCTCCAGATTTACCAGACTTTACCATTCTTAAAAGGCTGGCTCGAGACCAGCTGATCTACCTCCTGGAGCAGGTATGGGTCCTTGTCTTTCAGCCTCCTGTTGATCCCCGCCAAGGTACCCATTGTGTATATTGATGGTCTCTGAAGCATATTTCCATTGTAGGCTGAGATTTTATCAGGCAGTCTGTACAAGATTGATTAAGCTGTTAGGGGCAAAACTGATTTCTAATGCTACTAGTAAAGCAAAAAAAAAGTGGAATAATGTGCAGCCCCTGTCATGACTTCTCATTTTAGCTCCCTGGAAAAAAAGATTTATTTATTGAACCTGAGCTGATGAGCCCACTGGATCGTATTGCCAACGTCTCAATACTGAAGGTACATTTTCGATTTGTACATTTCTCTTTGTATCAATGTATTACTCTGTAAAATTGGTCATTGTTTTATTTTTTGGGGTTTTTTTTTTTCAGCAACATGATGTTGACAAATTGTACAAGCTTGACAACAAACCCATTTACACCAACTCTGACCAGTAAGTTATTGAAATTCCATTTTCCTCTAAGTAGATTCTGTCATTTTAAAGTTGGAGTGAATGCAGATATATGGAAAAAAAACTTTTTTAATTACAGTTAATCATCATTTCAGTATTTGGGTATATTTTAAAGTCCCGCCTCATGTCTAAATAACAATGAAAAATAAATAACCCACCAATAACTAAAACAAATACAGTGGTCTCTAGCTTTCCAGTGCGTTCCCTATAGACTCACTGCTGCCTTTTGCTGCCACTGGTCATCTGGGTTCAGTGATGCTCATTATCATTCAACCCACTTCCTGGGAACCCTAGGGGTGTGTCGTCATGCCAGCCTAGGCTTACAGTACTACTGTATAGTGAAATGCTCACACTTCATTACATGAATGCAGTTCTGCACAGGTGTAGGGCCTGCTGCCAGATCATAGAAAAGGAGGAAAAAGACCTGATAGGTCACACGACTGAAGAAAAGATATGCATAAAAAGGGGGGGGGGGTGGGTGTTGGGCTGTGTGCTCAGGCTGGAGTTGGCTGTGGAACTGAAAACAAAAATGTGAAGGTCTGTTAAGTTAGAGATAAATTTAGAGATGTTAATTGTGCCTAAACAGAACAACGGAACCCTGAGAAGTGTTCCTTGTGTCTAGTATTTCTCCTGAAAAAATAGCTGTGTGCTTCCTGGTATGTGAGTGTGCTAAGCACTCTTTGTACCTAAAGCTGCATAACTGTATATCTGCAGTGTGAGATCTCAGGCACTGCTGCCTTTGCTGTGCTCTGACTGCTAGTCTCAGGAGATTTGAAGATGTCACTACTGTGCTGCTCGCTATTCTCCTTGCTGGAGGCTCTGGCACTGGGAAGCAAAATTCCTGCTACTATCAAGGTTGCCGCCATATATACAGAGACACAGGGGTTGATTTACTAAAACTGGAGAGTGCAAAATCTGGTGCAGCTGTGCATAGAAATCAATCAACGTCCACGATTTCATGTCAAAGCTTATTTGAGCAAGCTGAAGTTAGAAGCTGAGTGGCTACCGTGCACAGCTGCACCAGATTTTGCACTCTCCAGTTTTAGTAATTCAACCTCACAGTGGAGATCAAGGCATTAAGAGGGAAATAATTGGCTGCATGGAGACCATAGGCAATATAGGCTAGTGATTAGTTTGTTGCCCTCTGCCTAACTTTTTTTTTTTACTTGGACGCAGCTTTCAAAATTTCAGTATCTCTGCGAGCCAGTCAGGGGAAAAAGGGGAGAATTTGGCACAGTGGGTGGAAGTAGGGCAAATAGTTTACTAAACTATAATGGAGTCCTCATAGGGAAAGATCATATATTAAAGTCCTTGTGGAGGAAGATCATATAATGTCCATGTCGGTCAATATAAAAATCCCACTCAGCGGCAGCTCAGTCCTTAGAGCAAGAAGCATCTCGGAAATGTAAACCCAAAGTGGGCAGGGGGAGGGAGACGAGCACCAGATAAGTGTAGCAGGTTTAAAAATTAATATGGATAAAATCAATGCACTCACAATGCGCTCACAAGAAGAATGACAAGACAGACATATCACGCTAAAGTAGTTCTCTCAGCACAGTCCCCGGTCCACCAGTAGATGGGAGCTACAAGTCTGCTGATCAGCAGCACCGCTGGCTTCCAGAGCTACCTGATTCTCGTGGACCACAAGGATGGGCAGATGTGATGTCACGACCGTAATGGATGTACAGACATGGCGGCGTATTGCGGACTCTGCTGACAGAACTACTTTAGTGTGATATGCCCGTCTTGTCATTCTTCCCTTGAGTGCATTGATTGTATTCATATTAACCACTTCCAGACCGGACACTTTTACCCCCTTCCTGACCAGGGCAATTTTCAGCTTTCAGCGCTATCACACTTTGAATGACAATTGCGCAGTCATGCAAGACTGTACCCAAATTAATTTTTTACCATTTTTTTGAGACAGATAAAGCTTTATTTTGGTGGTATTTATTCACCGATGGGATTTTTATTTTTTTTGCTATGTAAATGAAAAAGTCCAAAAATTTTGAACAAAAGTGTTTTTTTTATAAAATTTTGCAAATAAATAATATTTCATCAAAAATCTTTGCCAAATTTATTCCGTTATCTTTTTAGTAAAAAAAAAAACAAACAACAAATTAGTTTTATAACCAAAAATTATAATTTTTAAACATTTTTTTTTTTACATTTTTATTTTATTTTTTTATATTATTGTTTTGTTTTTTTTTTTTTGTTTGTTTTTTACATACTGTCACCCTAGCAGTACAGTGTCACCATGGTGACACTGTACTACTTGTGGGGGTGATGGAGATTTTTTTTTTTTACACTGATTGCTTTTACACCCATATAGGATGTAAAAGCAATCATTTCTCTTTCTCTCTGTGTGCATTCCTGCACTCATTGAGAAATACTGAGTGAGCTGTGATTGGTCACAGCTTGTCACATGGTACAAGGCTTTTGTGAATAGCCTTGTACCATGTGACCTCTGTGATCATTCACAGATTTCACACGTAGTAAGCAATGATGTCACAAGTGACATCTTGCTTACTACTTTGCATGTGATCACTGATTGGCCAATCAGTGATCACATGATCGGGACCTCGTACAGAGGTCCCGTCCGACGATCGGTGTTTCACTGTGTCCGGAGGACACAGCGGGCACCGGATCGCGGTGCTGCGCGCTCCCAGGGAGCGCGCACAAGCAGGGTGCGGGGAGGCCGTTCATAAACCATTTTTTTGAGACAGATAAAGCTTTATTTTGGTGGTATTTATTCACCGATGGGATTTTTATTTTTTTTTTGCTATGTAAATGAAAAAGTCCAAAAATTTTGAACAAAAGTGTTTTTTTTTTATAAAATTTTGCAAATAAATAATATTTCATCAAAAATCTTTGCCAAATTTATTCCGTTATCTTTTTAGTAAAAAAAAAAACAAACAACAAAATTAGTTTTATAACCAAAAATTATAATTTTTAAACATTTTTTTTTTACATTTTTATTTTATTTTTTTTATATTATTGTTTTGTTTTTTTTTGTTTGTTTTTTACATACTGTCACCCTAGCAGTACAGTGTCACCATGGTGACACTGTACTACTTGTGGGGGGTGATGGAGATTTTTTTTTTTTACACTGATTGCTTTTACACCCATATAGGATGTAAAAGCAATAATTTCTCTTTCTCTCTGTGTGCATTCCTGCACTCATTGAGAAGTACTGAGTGAGCTGTGATTGGTCACAGCTTGTCACATGGTACAAGGCTGTTGTGAATAGCCTTGTACCATGTGACCTCTGTGATCATTCACAGATTTCACACGTAGTAAGCAATGATATCACAAGTGACATCTTGCTTACTACTTTGCATGTAATCACTGATTGGCCAATCGGTGATCACATGATCGGGACCTCGTACAGAGGTCCCGTCCGACGATCGGTGTTTCACTGTGTCCGGAGGACACAGCAGGCACCGGATTGCTTTGCTGCACGCTCCCAGGGAGCGCACACAAGCAGGGTGCGGGGAGGCCGTTTATAAACGGCCACCCGACCCTGCACTGCCACCGTCCGGCCGTTTATATGCAACGGCCGGTCGGGAAGTGGTTAAAGCTTGCTACACTTAGCTGGCGCTCGTCATCCCCCCCCCCCCCTCACTGTGAACCAGTCATGCCGCATTGAACAATTTATTACTCTTATTATTATACAGGATTTCTATAGTGCCAACAGTTTACGCAGCATCTTACAACATAAGGGCAAACAGTTCAATTGAATACAGTAGGAAGCAGAGGGCTCTGCTTGTTAGAGCTTACAATCTAAGAAAATGCCACCTATAAACAATGGTTTCTGGGAGCTGCTAGGGAAGTTTTAAGAAATGAATACAGAGGGGCGCCAGACTAAGTGCAGTATAAAAACAGTTCTGTTTATTAAAAATAAGCATATTGGGAACTCAGTATAAAGCAGATGAGATTGGGCATATAAAATCATGTAGGAAGGTCCCCAAGGTGATCCAGTAGATGGAATTATCATCCAAGTCCAGGTAGGAACAGCGGTAGGCAGCCGAACGCTGCTGGAACCAGCAGCGTGGTACCGGAAGTGATGCCACCAAGGAGACGTCACTCCATAAAGGGGAAGGGAAGTTTTAAGCAGCTTGTAGTAGTCAAGGAGGACCAGAGCAGTGCATACTTTTTCAGAGTCCTCTGGACCAGGCAGGTGGCAAAGGAAGCTGCAAGTCGGTAGTAGTGTTTAGTGTATTTAGCCTGACTATGCAATGTGGCAATTGTGTGTGAATAACAAGGCTGGGCAATCAAAATAAAAAATATTTTGATAAACTAAACCGTTCATGTTTTTTATAATAGTTCATGAATATTAATTCTATGTCTGCATGGAACTCTGCTTTAAAGTGGAATTCCAGTCATAACTTAACTAATGCTAAACCTGCTCCCACCCCCATTCTAAACTCCTTCTATCTAACCCTGCAAAGAAAAGATCACTATACTTACCTATTCTGAAGCCACTGCAGTCCTGTCCCAGGGTGAGCTGTCAGTGGCGGCTTCTGTGTGAAGGAGGGGTAGCCAACAACGGATGCCCCATAGTAAGTCTATGGGTGATGTCGTCTCCCAGGCATTTCAGCCATTGTCTCTTTTCTCTCCTACACGCAGAAGCCGCTGCTGGAGACCAAACCAGAGTGGCTTCAGAATAGGTAAGTATACACATCTTTTCTTTACAGGGTTAGATAGAATAGTCTTAGAATCGGGATGGGAGTAAATTTAACATTAGTTAGGTTATGACTGAAATGCCACTTTAAGGGCTTATGGGATGTTTCTGCACGTACAATGAATGTAAGAAGTCTCGAGTCTTTGCAGTGATTCCCATATTACTAAAGTGAATGAACCTTTATACATTTACATTATACAGCATAGAGCACTTTCCTAACTAACATAGCTCTTCAAGGTTTGCTGTTTCACAACATTGTGATACCCTTTTTTCATTAACCTGCAATAATATTTTGGGTATTTTTTTTTCTCCAGATTGTGCTTTTTGATAAGACCTCGTATTAAGCATGTGAAGAATATTGCCAGTAAGTGTATCTGCTTTATTCATTTCTATAGATACCTCCTGCCATCACTATAAACTTTCTATTCCAATATGCAATACAGATGTATTAAAGTAATGCTGTTTGTTGCAACCAGTCAAATTCTAAAAGTGAATTGTCTAATGCAGTCATTGCCATAATGTAAAACATAGAATAATGCTACTGCCCATTCAATCACATATCACAAGAGGTTGCGGGTGCTCGATCCACAGTTCAGCTGTATGTAGTACTTGATATAGAAGATCCGCACTACCACCACTGCTCCTAAAATCTTCATTCATGACTATAAGTTATGACTAAAGCCATGTATGCTGAAACACATCCGCTTGCTGTATCTGTGATTCATGCACTATGGTTTCTACAATAGATGAAGATTTTAAGAGCAGTGGTGGTTGTGCGGATCTTCTATATCAAATCATTACAATAACTGAAATAGTTTCTGTAGGCTATAGGCAACCATAGCGTGTTCAGTTTTGCAAAAATAATGCCTTGACCTCAAGTGGTTCCATCTTTTTCATATTTGAATTTATCTACCATAATGTCCCCGGTATGATATTTAAAGCTGAAGTTTAGGTATGGCAGTTTTTACATTGTTACATTAGTCCAGCCTTAACCAATGTAGATATGTATGTGACATACCTGTGGGATCCCTGCGGAAGCTGGAAAATCACTGTAGTAGGCACCAATATTAAAGTGATGCCCACTATTTTCCAGGTTCTGTGCCAAGCCCTATTGTATTGTGAACACCAGGGGGGGTCATTCACTAGGCATGGACCCATTCCGGGAACTCTTTGCATTTTCTCAGCAAATGCAAAGCACTTTCTGATTGGACAAAAAGAAATTGCAATGGGGTTGATTTACTAAAGTCAAATAGACTGTGCACTTTGCATGTGCAGTTGCTCCAGAGCTAAGTCAATGAGTTGAGATCACTGGAGTAGCGATGTCTAGAACAGTGATTTCCAGCTTCCACAGGAATCCCACAGTTGGAATCCCACAATCCTATAGCCTACAGAAACTTTTTAGGAGCAGTGGTGGTAGTGCGGATCTTTTATATCAAGTACTACATACAGCTGAACTGTGGATCGAGCACCCGCAACCTCTTGTGATATGTGATTGAATGGGCAGTAGCATTATTCTTACATACATACTTACATTGGTTCAAGCTGGAGCTGCAATTCAGCTTTAATAATTCAATTGTGTTTTGACAATATACTAAATCCACTGCTTTTCCAGTCACTGTTGTCTGTAGTAATTGCTGATAAGAAATTGATCAGTCATTGAGGACTTTTTGCCCCATTTGCTGGCTGGTTTTCAGTAGGCATTCTTCAGATAGGAGCATTATTATTATTATTATACAGGATTTATATAGCGCCAACCGTTCGCTCAGTGCTGTATATTACAATGGGAGACAATACATGAGACAGTACAATTACAATACTGTGTAATACACGAGGGGTTAGAGGGCCCTGCTCCTTGGAGCTTACAATCTAGGAGGGAGGGTGGTGGTATAACCCATTGCAACCGGTGAGTGTCTTTAATTTTCCAGATTGCTCTCAGTTTATGAGAGGTAAATGCTTATTGGTTGCTGTACTTTTTACAATGCATTATTAAACAGATAGGTCTAAACATTATCTACCATCATGATGAACTCTAGCCTAAATATCATTATGGAAAAATATCTACTGTATATATCTGTTCTAAGTTCTACATTAGCAGACCACTTATTTACACCCAGTTTGTGTTCTTTATTCATTTTTTTTATTTAACTCTTTTCCCGTGGGTCCAGATACTGTATGCTTTACTAAAGCCTGCAGGCACACTACTCATGATACCCTAATGTTTACTCATTGATTAAGTAAACATCACTTGCCTAGCATGGTTTTTTTTCCTTAATATACTTTTTAATGTTTGGTGCAAAAAAATAAAAATGTACATGGTTTTTCTTTCTTTATGATCAGATAAACCATTTGCAGCCTTCAGGCAGAGCTTCCTGCAAAAGCTTTCTTGAAGTACCAGATCATAGCTGATGTGCTAAAAAATAAGTGCTGGATCACACTGGAGTGATTTGTGATGCGACTTGAGTTGCACAGAATTGCATGACAAGGAAAATCGCATTAATTTTCAATGGTGTCCTTTCACATTAATGTAACTCAGTGCAGTGAAATTTTGTAAAAGGTTCCTGTGCTATTTTTGGTGCGATTTTGCGGCATAAAATATTCTGACCACATTCAAAGTTGCACTGATAATCGCATCCAAATTGCCCTGCAGTAGTGTGAAGGGAGCATAAATTTCAAAGAGTTATAGGACATCCACTCCTCCCTTTGCTAGCAGGGATGGCAACATCCCAAAGAGCCCCATCATAAAAAAATTATACTTCACATGAATCAAAATGTCCTTTTGTTATAATAAATCCCATGTTTAGTAATAAAAAGGAATCTTTCTTGATATGAATAAAAAATAAAAAATACTGCTCCCAACTAATCTTGTGACCTAAATACAAGGCAGAAGGTCACATGGCCTATTATAACATGGCGTTGTGACTATTTCACATCATTAGAAACTGCAGAGAGTCTAATATTTTTAATAATGCGTGCCCTGTCCAATAGACTTATAGTGGAATAAAGGAAAATTGGCAAGGCCAAAACCAGGAAGGAGTACCTGCGTATGTAATAAACAAAGATGGCTCTCCCCCTGTACAAAGATAACTTTCACATATGTATCTAAGGAACATTAAAAAAAATTGTGGCTTGCTTTAACTAGTCAATTATCCACGCTCATTATAAAAGTATACAAGATGTTCTCAGCCTCTCCTAGCCATAAACTCCTCATTCTTTGCAAACTTTGACATGCTTGTGCACTATAGCTAATCATTTCTTTCTTTACAGACCTTGTGAATACAGACAAGAAATCTAAAGTCAGTAGAAAATACAAGATTATATTTAGCCCCCAAAAAGTAAGGTTTTTTTTTATAATTTTTATGATTTGCAAATGAAGAAAAGTTTTCATTTTTTTTTATTTGTACCTTTATTACATTGTCTTTTTCGTCCCTCAGTTTTATACATGTGATATGATTCTGGAGCAGGAGGGGATATATGGTGGTAAGTGTTTATGAAATTTTACGGATCTGTGTATAATTAAATAAACTGAAGTGATTTTATCTTTTCAAGTCTTCTTTTGTTTTTTTTTTAAATGACAAAAGTTATTTCCTATTCTGTATTGGAGTTACTTATTGAAGTGGACCTATGCTTAAAGCAAACCTGTGGCCAGGATATGGACATCAAACTAATTAGATGTGCTTAAAAATAATGAAAATGGTTCTCTAAAACCAGCACCACCTGATTCCAAACCCTGCAGGCACAAAGCAGAAATTCATTCAAAAATTTCACAGCCATAGTGACTTGAAGGTTAAGTCCGCCTTTTACAAAAATAATAAATGCACATCTATTTGCTTATATAAATTGCATGTATTTTTTCTGTAAATCGGCTTGCAAAGCATTGCAGCCACAAATAGTGGTGCAATGTCAGGCCCCTGCAGACTCTTCCTCTATCTCTCTGTTCATAGCAAGGTACAGATCTTTAGTTGGAGAGCAAAAGAAAGTATCAATGGATTACGAGTGTTGTGACTACTGCACTAGTGTTCTATTGAGAACTACAAGTCCATCTGCTGTGGTGGAGGTTTGAGGATGGATGGGGTTCTATTTACACCATGTTTCATGTTACACCCTAAATATTAGTGTAAAAGATGTAGTTAGCCTTTAGATTTGAGTAAAGCTAGACATGCATAGCTAGATTTTTAAACGAGAAAATTTAGTCAGTTTCCCCCACCTGTGCTAAAAACAGCATGGATGAAGGAATTTCCATTCCTGGCTTTTTGTATTCAGTAGCTGCAGCTGCCTGAATACCTGAACAGAGACTGCATATGATAGGGTACAATTACTGTTCAGCACTTAACTCTCCTGGAGAAATCCAAAATGGCGGCACCCTCAATGCTGAAACAGCCCTGTATAGAGTCCCAGAAAGAAAAGATTACGAGCAGTGACTACTAACTTTGAAGTACTTGTATCCAGTTATTAAGCTCTATTTTCATCTACTACCTAGATCAGTGGTGGTCAACTTTCTAGATATGGGAGGCCCAAGTGTAGCACCCAACATCACCAAAGGCCCGCACATAAAATTCAGTGAATATTTTTAATCAGAGACAGCAGACGCACAACGGGATATAGTCAAGGACTACGGCCATGATGCAAGAGGTGGTCAGAGACTGTAGACATAATAAAAAAAGGTCAGAGACTCTGGACGTGATATAAGAGATGGTCAGAGACTGTAGAACTAAGAAAAGAGATGAAATAAAAATGAATAACTTCTACGCCCCCCAAAGCAAACCCACACATCTCAAAGTAAAATATGCTAAAATATATAAAGCAACTAACTAAAAAATACCACATTCAAAAAGTGTGAGGGCAGCAGCAAACACTGATTTGTGTTCCCTCAACGCCAAAAGTAGAAATGTAATATTAAGTGCTGCACTGCCTGAAATCAACCTGAACCTGGTGCAATATCCATGATAAAAGTGCATTATTTAGGTATATATTAGCATGGATACTTGTATATTCAAAGAATTAAAATATGTGCAAGCATAGCATGATTCTTTGAAATGAAAATTAGTGATAAAAGTTCTTTAACAGAACTGTTAATTTTTACGTCCAAATTTCAACTTTATTTTAGTCATGGTCTTTTGACTAAAATGCTATTTTAGTTTTAATCGTATTGTAGTTATTTGAATTGTTTTAGTCATATTTTAGTAGAGTAAAATCTCCAATACCCATCTGAACTTCTGCTTTCCTTGGAGCTCTGCCTGTCTGTTAATGCCCCAGCCAGCCCCCTGACTCTATTGGCAAGTTGTATTGGCTTAGAGACACAGGCTCCCTCTGCTGCCTGAGAGTTCTGGAAAAATGCCTTGCAAACCACAGAAGAGGGACTCTTCTGTCAGATTCATGTCTCACTGGATGTGACGTAGTGAGTGTTTCGCCTCCCAGCAAGGTAGCAGTGCTTAGCACTGTGTAAAAGAACAGTCTCCCCAAACTATCCAGTTCTCTGCCCTGTGCACTCCCTCACTCCCATTTACTTCCCCATCCCCACTTGCAGCTTGACATTACAGCCAATAGAGTTAACAGGGTTTTTTTTTAATATTCTAAAGGTACTTTTCTGTTTGCCAAAAAACAACATTTTTGTTTGTTTATGAAACTTTGTTTTACTTATAAAGACGGTATATACCACAATGGCTAAATCTGTGTCTGTAGTGCATGTTCAAACCTTAATACCATAAATAATATGTTATTAAATTTTTACTCGAGTATATGATGAGTTTGGAAATTCTAGAGAAATGCTTAAATAATGCATTACAATTTAACCACTTCCCGACCGGCCGTTGTATATAAACGGCCGGACGGTGGCAGTACAGGGTCGGGTGGCCGTTTATGAATGGCCTCCCCGCACCCTGCTTGTGCGCGCTCCCTGGGAGCGCGCAGCACCGCGATCCGGTGCCCGCTGTGTCCTCCGGACACAGTGAAACACCGATCGTCGGACGGGACCTCTGTACGAGGTCCCGATCATGTGATCACTGATTGGCCAATCAATGATCACATGCAAAGTAGTAAGCAAGATGTCACTTGTGACATCATTGCTTACTACGTGTGAAATCTGTGAATGATCACAGAGGTCACATGGTACAAGGCTATTCACAACAGCCTTGTACCATGTGACAAGCTGTGACCAATCACAGCTCACTCAGTATTTCTCAATGAGTGCAGGAATGCACACAGAGAGAAAGAGAAATGATTGCTTTTACATCCTATATGGGTATAAAAGCAATCAGTAAAAAAAAAAAAAAAATCTTCATCACCCCCCACAAGTAGTACAGTACTGCTAGGGTGACAGTATGTAAAAAAAAAAAAAAAAAATGAAAAATAATAATATAAAAAAATAAACTAAAAATGTAAAAAAAAAAAATGTTTAAAAATTATAATTTTTGGTTATAAACTAATTTGGTTTTTTTTTGTTTTTTTGCTAAAAAGATAACGGAATACATTTTGGCAAAGATGTATGATGAAATATTATTTATTTGCAAAATTTTATAAAAAAAACACTTTTGTTCAAAATATTTGGATTTTTTCATTACATAGCAAAAAAAATAAAAATCCCAGTGGTGAATAAATACCACCAAAATAAAGCTTTATCTGTCTCAAAAAAAATGGTAAAAAATTAATTTGGGTACAGTGTTGCATGACTGCGCAATTGTCATTCAAAGTGTGATAGCGCTGAAAGCTGAAAATTGCCCTGGTCAGGAAGGGGGTAAAAGTGTCCGGTCTGGAAGTGGTTAACTAAACCAATTTGATTTTAGTCAACTAAATAAAAATCGGAATTGATTTTCGTCATAATTTTTCATCAATTGTTTTAATTTTAATTTAGTTTTCATCACTGAAAACATGGAGCTGACTAAAGCTATAATGAAAATTTTTTCGTTGACAAAATTAACACTGATTAACCGGTATATATTGGTGTGATATCTTATAATGGAGTTCCACCCAAAAGTGGAAGCACCGCTTTTCTGCCCCCTCCCTCCGCTGCCACATTTGGCACCTTTGGGGAGGGGGAAGCAGTTATCTGGTTTTGACAGGTACCCACTTGTACTTCCGGCTCGGTTTGCCGTGGCAAACTGAGCCGAAAGTTCGGCATCCCTCGTATTCCCTCTAGGAAACTTCCAAGGTCCCAGAGGACTACAGCCCATTCACAAAGTGCCGTGCGCTTTGCGCATGTGCAGTAGGAAAACAGTGGAGAAGCTGCAAGGCTTCACTGCCAGTTTCCTTTAGTCAGGATGGTGGAGCTAGCACTCGACAGCCAATTGAAGAATCGTCTCAGGGTGAGGACACTGCTGGATGCATGAAAAGGGTAAGTGGCCAACTATTAAAATTCAGCAGCCACAGTATTTGTAGCTGCTGACTTTTCATTTTTTGGGGGGAGGTGGATGGGGCTTCAACTCCGCTTTTAAGGCTCAAGTATTCCACTTGTGACCATAGGATAAGTAACCATCTTCCCGTGCTCTCAAAACACTTACCTTAATAATTTGAGCTACAATGCATGTATAGTCAAATAACGTATGTGTTTCTAGCAGGTGTCTCTCTAGCACACACAACGCCTCCTATGTGCTTGTAATAGAATCTCTCCTTCCTCCTCTACACTAGGGTGCCTCTGTCTTCCAAAGTGCTCTTCCTAGGTAATTGGGTACTGGTCCCTTTATGGCTGTCTTATGCCCAAACTGGCATATAGAATCATTCCAGTAGCATGTTAAACCTCAGACATTAAATCTGAACAAAGCGTATCCCTCTATGGAGTGTACTTGTCTCAGTTAAGAGCACTAAGTGTAATTTCTGTCTGTTGCTTTTTTCCTCTACTACCAGCATGAATCCGGACAGAGGCACATATGCAAACTGTTGTAATTCCTACACCGTTCACCTGATTTGGATGTAAATACCCTCAAATTAAAGCTGACAGTCTGCAGTTAAAGCACATCTTGTTCGTTTCATTTCAAATCCATTGTGGTGGTGTATAGAGCCAAAAATGTTAGAATTGTGTTGATGTCCCAATATTTATGGACCTGACTGTATGTGTGCACCAGAGAGATACCTGCTAGAAACCACACATGCATTATATGACCTTGCATGCATTGTAGGTCAGATTATCAAGGTGAGCACAGTGGTGAACGGGAAGACGGTTATATAACCTATGGTCACAAATGGAATATTTGAGCCTTAAGATATTGCACCAATATGGAAATGTTAATGAACTTTTATCACAACTTTTCTTTTAAAAGAATAGTGGTCTATGCTTGCACATATTTTAATTCTTTGTGTATATATACAGTATGTTATTCTTTGTTAATATATACATAAATATTGCACCAATTTAGGTTGATTTCAGGCTGTGCAGCACAAACTATGCTTGCACATATTTTAATTCTTTAGGCATTTATTCTAATATATACTTAATGCACATTTAATATTGATATTGCACCAGGTTTAGGTTGATTTCTGGCAGTGCAGCACTTAATATTACATTATTAATACAAAAGATGGCCAGAAATTGCTGACATGATACAAGAGATGGTGAGAGACTGCAGATATAATACAAGAGATGGTGAGAGACTGCAGACATGATACAAGAGATGGTGAGAGATGCAAACATGATACAAGAGATGGTGAGAGACTGCAGACATGATACAAGAGATGGTGAGAGACTGCAGACATGATACAAGAGATGGTGAGAGACTGCAGACATGATACAAGAGATGGTCAGAGACTGCAGACATGTCACAAGAGATGGTCAGAGACTGCAGACATGACACAAGAGATGGTCAGAGACTGCAGACTGATACAGGAGATGGTCAGAGACTGCAGACATGATACAGGAGATGGTCAGAGACTGCAGACCTGATACAGGAGATGGTCAGAGACTGCAGACCTGATACAGGAGATGGTCAGAGACTGCAGACCTGATACAGGAGATGGTCAGAGACTGCAGACCTGATACAGGAGATGGTCAGAGACTGCAGACCTGATACAGGAGATGGTCAGAGACTGCAGACCTGATACAAGAGATGGTCAAAAAATGAAGATATGCTGAAGGAGACTTTCAAAGACTGTGAACATGCTATAGGAGTTGTTGGAGACTAGGGACATGTTTCAGGAGCTGCAGTGCATAGAAATAAATGAAATAGCACACTGACATTTCAATAAATTTTAATAAAATAATACAAAAATTAATAGGTGCTCTGCAGTTTAAAAGCAAAAACATAGTGTCTTCCAGTGTGGGCAGTGTAAACTAAAAGCTTACTTAATGTGTAATTAAACTCCCCATTATACTCCGCTTGCCAACAATGTGGTGGTAACATCCATCACCAGCCACTGTCATCTTATCCCCGAGTGACAGATTTTGAGCTTCTTGATTGACTGATGGGGGATGATCTCATCATATGCATGTGCACAAGAGTCAATCATTCTGGCACAGCCGAAATGTGACAGGAATGCATGCTCAGCTGCACATGTACAGCTTAAGGTACAATCGGTAGAAAACTGCAAACAGGTGGGTACGTTTGTTTTATTGTAGAAGAGTTAGAGCTGCCTGTTCACAGTTTTCTTAAAGCAAATTTAGTTCCTCTTTAACCGCCATGTGTTATGCATACTTCAGTGTGTCTCCGTGTCATTGCAAGTGTACGTGTATTTTCTATATACAGATGTGACCACTGATGAATGGTCATTTTACCTACTTCCACTGGATGATGATATTATCAGCATGGAGCTGCCAGAATTTTTTCGGGACTATTTTCTAGTAAGTAAAACCGTGATCCACTCATTAATTTGTAATTAAATCGAGAGAGCATTATTAATACATTAGACATGCACAAACCGCTGGCCAGTAAATAAATGCTGAAGCCAGGGGCCCTACGGAAAACATTTTAAAGCTTCTTGGTATGTATATAAAACTGAATTATCCAAAAACATTTGATGCAAAAAATATATCTGTATGCTAGCCTTAAAATATATTTATAGTCAGAATTTTTTTTAAATATTCAATTTTAGATACAATGGGGGGGGGGGGGTTAAAACACTCTGTGAATTCATTTTTATGGAGTCAAAGAAACTGAAAAAGTGAATGTAACATGGATTTAGGAGAAATCATTTTAGCGTCCAATACTCTCCCATAGTTAACCTTTGCCACATACTTTTGGAAAGTACAATTGAAATGATTGATTTCTACATATTTTCTGTTTCTATACATTGCCTGTAAGCTGTGACTTGTTAAGGATGCATGGTGTTCTGCATTGTACAAAATTATATGAATATACTATTGACACCATTCTTTCATGTAAAAACCATCAAAGTTATTACAAATCTATAATTGCTATAATGGTATTGTTCTGTATAGGAAGAACAATTCATTTATTGATTTTTTTTTTTTTTTTTTTTAAAGGAAGGAGACCAAAGGTGGATTGGCACTGTGCCCCGAGCTCTTAATTTATTGAATTCCATCTTTGGTCCCATCTCGAAGATATACGGAATTGGAAGGTGTTCTAAGGTAAGGATTAAATAATATCATTATTGGAAATAAGATATACACCTTGGGTAACGTTGCACAACATTTGTCTGCACCTAGGCAGAGCACTGTAGTCGACTTCCTGGTTCCAAATGAAAGATCGAAGATTTGCAGGACCATTGTAGCTTTCATTATTACTGTCTATAAGGGTTAAATAAACTACTAAACATTTTGCTGACAAATAAATTTTTTATGCAGATGGTCTTTGACATGTGGCAGAAGCACCTGGATGATGGTGAAAGTGATCGTAAAGAGCGAAAACCAGAAATAGGACTTGCATTCATGATTGACAGAGGTTTGGATTGTTGCAATGAATACGATACCAAAAATATGGACTTGTCTTTTACAGTCATTATGAATGTTGTACAATACACTAACTAGTAGACAACATTGGTAACGTCATGTACAGACTACACCACGGTTATTACTTTTAGCAAAGCTAGGAGGTTAAGAATTAAAAAGGTATACACCAAGTACACCAACAGTTAACTGTAATTTAGATGGCAAGGTCAAGTAACAAGACCTTAAACTATTTCCAAAAATCGTCACACCCATATATACAGTTTTTTTTTTTTTTTCTGTTATAGTATTACAATTAAAGAAAACAGTATCTGTTCATAGAGGCTATAAATAAGCTCTCTGTTGCGCCCTCACATTTTCCCCATATTGTGGATAGCAGATGTGAAGACGCTATGTTAAAATCTATTTTTTACCCTTTGCCCTTCTTACATCCCTGCATCACTCCTTTCCCAATTGGCTGATCTCAGCCAATAAAGAAAACATTTTTAGCCTGCTGGGAAAGGAGGAAAATGTCACTGTAGCTAGAAAGACTGAACATAGACACGTTAAATCAGACTCTTGAAGGTTACATCATTTTTTTCACACAGTTTTCGCAGCTGTGAAGGTACCGTAAGATATATATTACTACAATTGGAAACTTGGATAGATTCATGTGTGTAAAGTAGTGGACCTTACAGCAAGGCCGGCTGTTGCATGACTGAGTGATATAGCCAATCCTTATGGGCACATAGGGTACAAATCAACCATTTTCTTTTTGTTAAATTGCAGATGTGGATTATGTCACTCCGTTGTGCTCTCAGGTGGTGTATGAAGGGCTTGTTGATGATATTTTCAGGATTAAATGTGGTACGTGGTTTTTTTTTTTTTTGTTTGTTTGTTTTTATATCCTTAGTATGTTTTCTTTTATTGTCATGCATATGTGCAGCACTTCTAAGTTGTTTATACTACCAGATTTATTGGTTATTCTATTCTGCATTATGTACCAGTATGGAATATGACTGCTATGTACAGTATTTACTAATGCAGAGGAACTACAATGATAGTTTGTAAAAGTATTTTTTCCAAGAACAGATCTGTTTAATTTTTCATCAGTTTATAGCAGCGGAAACAATAGGTGATCAGTTTCTGTGAGGTTCTACATTGTCCAGGTTGCTCTTTTCCTTGCTAATTAAGTCGTTTAAGTCATTTTAGGGTTAATGAAGTAGTAATCCATAGCAACCAGTATGATGTTGCTGTTCTGAAGTTGGCTCAGTGAAAGATGAGCTTCGTGCTACGTTGCTGTGCGATTCCACACTCTTCACGTTTAACTGAAACTGATCATGAAATCAAGTAGTCTGCAAAGTGCAGTAACTGAAAGTAATCAATAATCCTGAGTGTTCTTTCTTGCCAGACAGAGCTTGCTGTCTAATTTGTGTACTGCAAAATATCATCGTGCATCCCTTACCTCTTATCCCTCCTGATCAGCCATTCTCAACTAGGCCTCCATGGATCCCTAAGGTTCTTCCAAAGGTTTCTTGGGGTTCCTTGTGCTGTGGCTGATTTGACATCCCTTTTGAAAGTGGCTGCATAGTTTCAGGGTCCAATGCCACCTTGCAGAGCTAGAATCATGAACCCAATTATCTTTTTAGCTGTCTGTAAAGGGGGACGCTTCCTATGGACCCCAGGTGAATGAATTTTAACAGGGTTTCCCTGTGATCTGATTGCAAGGGTTCCTCTGGGGTAAAAAGGTTAAGAAAGGCTGCTCTATATTGTGAGCTTGTACTATTTCATATTGTTTGCAACATTTTACGTAACAGTTGTATGCATGTAATAGGTTTTTTCCCCAAAGTAAGAATTCCAGGCAAATGACTGAATACACTGTTGACATGTATGTGAATGGTTTTATGTGACACATGATTTGTTATTTAATTTAGTCCGTTTTGTTATTGAGGTTTCTGTATCGGCGCAATCAGCTCTAAAGCTGGCCTTACACAATTAGATTTTTTTCATTCAGCCTGCAGGCTGTACAGTACAGATAGCTAAATCTGCCACTGTAGGTATTGTAAGCACTAGCTGCTGTCCGAATACCTTAACAGTGTCTTCATCTGGTTGGATGCAGCCACTGTTTGGTTGACAGTTCACTGTCTGGCTTCTTTGAATTTTTTCATCAAAGGATGTCAAGTAGGTGGTTGGCAACAGGGCTACCCACTGAATGAATTTCCTAATAAACTAGTTGAAATAGAGAGAGAGACAGACAGGCAGACAGACAGACAGACAGACCAGCTTAAGACCTCTGGGCAGACTACACTTTTGTAACTTTAGTAAAGCTTTGCAGTTTTGTCCAGGACACGCCCAGTCGTGCAACTGCACAATGATGGAAAAGCAGCACATTAATGAAGCCATAGCCATGAAGTTATGTTATCTTCCCTCCTTCCAAGCCAATTCAGAGCAAAGCAATACCATCTGATTGATGTGGTGTGCTAACTTACTGAAGTGCAGTCTCTTTGCTGCTGTGCGAGGTGCTGCAGGGGACTAACTTCAAGAAAAATATGGGTATTCTTTGTAAAAATACATTTTTTAATGAATACATATCTGGATTAACTTGTGTTGTTATGTCTGCCTGGAGTTCCTTTTTAAGAAGAAACCTCAACAAGCACCAACAAGAAGATGTGGCATGATATTAGTAAATACGACTGGGGGAATTAAACTTGCCACAAGCTTTTGCGAGTAGATCTCCATTTGTGATTCTAATCTGATGGTATAACGTTTTGTTCCCTAGAAGCATGAGGGTTATGAGAGGTTTCTAGTGATACTGGAATGGTTCATTGAATACAATATCTAACTTAAATATGCTGTTTTTTTTTAAATGAATAGGAAGTGTGGAATTTGGGCCAGAAGTGACCTCTTTTGATAAAAGTATTAAAGTTCTTCTAAACTCTCAGGATAAGGTAAAAAAGTGACTTTTTTTTTTATTTTTTATCTGTAATATTACAAAGACATGTAAGACCATTGAATCACTGTGATATGCCTACATGTTTGTGCAGGAAACAGGACATTTTTCCTTCTGAAACCTGTATACAGGAGATGCAGTACAACTAGTTTCCAGTGATGATGCTTTGTACTGAGCTAGCTGAGGTCTCCGATACCATCCTCTCACATGCCATTGGCGTGCCTAGTATGCATGGTCAGCCCAGCAGAATTGGTGGTAGTGTTTAAAGGGAATGCATCAGGATAAAGATAAGGTTGCCACCATAGTCAAGGCATTAGAAGTCAGAGATTGCATGAATTCTGACAGCTGTGCTGTTAACTATCTGACCTTGACCTTCAGTCTCCTGAGTGTGTGTAATATGTGAGATCAGGCAATAAATAATAGGTAGCAAATTTCAGATTTCAGGCAATCACTAACCTGATCCAGATCATCCACAAGGCAGGGAAGAAGCCTAGATTCAGGTCAACATCCAGGGGGTCCAGCTACAAATTTCATGGTCCCTGCAGTAAATCAATGGGATTCTGCAATTGATCAGATATGTTCATCTGCTTGTCACTACACAGGGGAGGATGCAGATGTAGGCAATTGTGTCTGATGAAGCCATGCAAGTAGAGACAATGCAGATATGTTGGCTTCTCAGTCGTTATTGCATTTCTTGTCAATGTTAATCAAAGGGATGTGGGGACCAAAGTATCTACCTTACCACTCTGTCTTAATCCAGCTGTGCCTCTAACTCATGACACTCCAACTAAATTATCAGACACATTTGTGACTGGTTCTCTTAAAACTTGTATTGTAAGTCATATACATGTGAAAGAATTTTCAAAAATAAAATCTGGCCACTCTTTTTTACTCAATGTGATCTGAATATTATGGTGATGGGTGTGTACTTGCTCTGAATGGAGGGAAAATTCTTCTGGTTTGAGTAATTTAGGAAATTTACTATAAGCAGAGTTTGTTTTGTTACAGTCCTCTAAGCTTTAGAAACACATTTTGTATATAGGTTAAATTTAGATATCCATACAGCTCTGACATTGCAAACTGTGAAATAATTACTGTTTAGTTCTGCTTTTAAGAGCTTAGTATAGAAAATAATTTATTTGTCTTTACTACAATTAATTTATAATGTGACAAAACATTGTCTGATTTTTGAAGATCAAGTATTTGGTATATTAGTAGCCCCATCCAGCCAGCTTTACCAACAGAGACAGAATCGGTTATACTGAGTGAACTGAACAGCCCTTCCATTAAAAACCATAGAATGGAGACTGTAAAAATGAAACTACCATTTCTGTTCAGAGTGCAAATCTTTAACCACTTCAATACCAGTGTGTGTGTTATATATATGTAATGGTATTGAAGTGGATACCACTTGCCTACCAGGCCAATTCTTACATTTCTGTCATACATGTAAAATATTTATCTTTTTTTGCTAGAAAATGACTTAGAACCCCCAAATATATTTTTTTTAAGCAGAGGCTCTAGAGAACAGAATTGTCGGTGTTTCGATTTTATATTTCATACAGTATTTGCGCAACGGTTTTTCAAACACAATTTTTGGGGAACAAATACACTTTAATGAATTTTAGTGTTTTAATGTAAGAATGATACTGGGATCATGGTGGTAGCCTTATCCATGATCCCGGTATAAAACCACTTGCTGACCGCCTAAGTGGAAAATATGTCATTACTTTACTGTCAGCTAGATGCCATAACCCCGGTAATGTTATTTTCCTTAGATGCCAGTCTTTTTTTTTTTTTTTTAACGTGATCCGAGTGGCAGATTCGGCGCTGGGTCACTATTAGAATCGGCGGGAGGTTTATGGTTTTACACTTCATTGCTATTCAATTCTATTTAGCATTACCTGTGCTTGCTGTGGTTTGAGTAAAAGCATGCCCTTCCAACCATTAACTTCTAATACATTCCTGATATTCAGCTTCTAAAAATAATTTGTAAGCGTGGTCATGTGGTTGTGCCGACCAATAAACACTTGCATTGAAAGCAATGTGATGGATGCTCATTTTGGTGTTATGTATTGCGGGGTACAGTGTACATACCTCTACATCAGCAGCGCAGGGCGTCATGGGGCATCACAGCCTCTATGTGCAGTGAGGTCCAGAAGGGTGTCCAGAATATTTGGAGTTAGTTCACTTTTCGTGAAAAGGCAAACTTAACCCTTAAATTGTATCTGTTATTTTTCAGATTTATAAATCAGAATGGTATTATTACATACTCCTATATAATACGTATCCTGACTTTTTTTTATTATATTATGAAAGCACATACAAAAGCAGTTGATTTGATCAAATTTTATTTTTCTCCTCCCTGCTATAGTCACATATCATACATTTGTAATAACCGTTACATTTGTCTGTGGAATTTGGTTCTATACACTTTAATCATCTCCCCCACATTCCTGATCTTGTAGAACTCCCTCCTGAGTTGCCATATGTTTATAGTAGATTATTCTCAGACCTGCAATTCTCAGCTGAAGCTGGTCACATAGTCTGATTTTATCTGTAAACTCTATGTTCCTTTCAAAGCAGCACAGCAGCTACTCTGTCATGATATCTCCTTTCCCTGACCACTGTTCCTGTTGATGAAAGCAGTTGTTGGGCTAAGCTTCATATATTACTTAAAAGGGATACGTTGTAGCAGAACTGCAAGTACCAAGTTGTAGTCAAGCTTTTAGTAGATATGAATAAAAGGTTAAAGTGGACCTGAACTGTGAAAGCTGTGACCAAAAAAGCATGCAGAAGGTAAAGAGAGAGACATATTCCACGTGCTCCGTCTACCTGTTTATTTAGAGAGACTATAAAAGGTGCACAAATGGTGCAAATAACCTTACATCCATAATGAAGAAATAACCAACCCAACAGAGCGAGATAGATACCATCAATATCTACCAAGTGTACTGACGAATTGACATAGACACATGAGTTTATTAACATGACACAGGTAGCTCCAGGTACTAGACAGCAGAATACTAAAAGGGCAAAAGGAGACTCTTAGTGCAGTAAGTCATTAAAAGCAGTGGCATTTTATTAGAACACTGTCAAATGTATTGCAATCACAAAGGGGGCCTTGACAAAGCCTTGAGCAGTACAGCTTGTTAATCCTCCTCTAGCTCTGGCCAGGAAGAGCCATGAGATCCTCTGATGCAAAAGGAGATTCAGGATCCTCAAGGAAAGCCAATGGTGGCTGCTGTCAGGCTGATGAAAGAGGATTTCCCAGAAATGTGTCCCTACACCAGTGGGTGGGACTTAGTCTGACAGCAGCCCACGTAGGCATATGGTGTACCAGTGATAACAGATATGGTTTTGTGGTATGGCGAATTTTAGAAATGCATTATCCAGATTTTGAAAATGGCAACCAATAATGCATTGATCTGTGATACATGGTATAAATACAAATGCTGATGCACAGTACATAAACATAAATAACACTGTTAGGAAAAGAGTGTGATTGCAGACAACACGTTTCAGCTGTTGCATAATGTGACAGACCCAACAGGGACAGGGGCTTTTGGAGGGGACTAGGGTCTAGCCTTCTGTGCACTGATTATGGCCCATGGAGAGAGCAGATCATTCTCTAATGATGGACAACAATGTGATGAACGCTGAGAGCAAGCCTTGAATTAATTCTCTGCATAAAGACCATAAATCTTCCATTCTGACCATTAACCTGTACAAGATTAATATTACATCTTTCCATCCACTCCAGAAGGGAACATTTATTGTCTTTATGCAGAGAATGAATCCAGGCATCACTCTCAGCGTTCATCACGTTGTTGTCCATCATTTGAGAATGATCTGCTCTCCTCATGGGCCATAATCAGTGGGCAGAGGGCTAGCCCCTAGTCCCCTCCAAAAGTTCCTGTCCCGGTTGGGTCTATCACACATCATTTCCAGTTAAGTACTGTTTAATATCCAGCTATAGAACCCAAACATCTGTATCTTAATAAACATTCCTTTCGTCCCCTATTAAAAGAGAAGAATGGGAGCATTAAAAAAACAAAAACAAAACATCACCTAGATGGTTGCAGCACCGATCCCAGCTGCAGCTGTCCCCTGTTGGCTCTACCCCTAGAATTGAGCAATCAAACACTGCTGACTATTAAGTTCTCCACCTCTGCTCTGAGCAGAGACTCATTCATTGGCTCTAGGCTGTGCCCCTCCAGCGTTCATTGGAGCACTGGACAGTGGAAGGGGTGGGAGCAACTGGCTCGGGCTCTCAGTGGCATGCTGAAAGTTTGAGCCAACTGCCAGTCCAGGTATCTGGGAGGATCCCGACTGAAAAAGTCAGGACCTTTCCCAAGCCTTGACGTACTGAGTTATGTTAGCCAACATCGGGCCTTATCCCACTGTGGGCTGAAAATGGGTCACAGGAATGCAGAACGAACTGCACTTCTGTGATCCGAAGGACAAGTATAGCCAAAATAACGTTGGCTATACTTCTTCTTTTAAATATCTAAAATATATTAACTCTTGAAACATATAACAGATTGCTGTAAATGAGCAGAAACCAACATTTGACATGAGCACTCTTGTGGAGACTTTGGCTACAATCCCATAATAGATTATAATTCAAATATATTCTAATGTTTGTAAATGCTGCTACTTTTTAACTTCTACACATCTTTGAAAAATGCATAATGAATAACATGCACAGATAACATGATGTTTTCCTTGTGATCTTCCTAGGTGTTTGGTGAAATTCGGAATGAGCATTTTTCCAATGTCTTTAGCTTTTTGAGTCAGAAAGCTCGCAATCTTCAAAGTCAGTATGATGTAAGTAAATTGGATTTATGTAACTTAATTGTACATTTCCAAATTGCACCAGTAATCTAAAACTGTCTGTATTAAAATTCAGTACTGAAAAGTGAAAAAATGTATTGTGAGTAGGTCCTCAATCTATTTCTCTGGTCATGATCTCCTATATTTGCTGCTTTTAATACATTGTTCTTTATCCTGCTATATGCTGTGGAGTTCACACATTCCTCTCTGCCCAGCTTAGTAGCTTCCAGGTTCAGATTGTATGCATGTGCATGAGGCTCCTTGGGTCGATTGACAATAGAGAACCATGTGCTGTATTCCCCCTCATATAGTGTTAAGTCAGCTATAGATGGATCAACTCTCGGCGGGTTCAGCAGGCACTGGCTGGAATTCAATCCAAGTATGGGCAGCCTGGTTGTACTGGAGTTGATCATAGCCGCAAGCAGTGATCATTGTGTCCTGGCCACAGAGAAGGCTCCCTGCTGGCAGAACACAGTAGCGCTGCGGGATTAATTCCCCCATCAACCCTGACTGTGTTGATGGGGGAATCAAGCTATTTTCTTTCTTGTAAAAATTAATTGTTTAATGTATGGCCTGCTCAACCCAAGCATCGCCTCAAGTCCCAGCAATAATGTGACTTTTTCTGATAACCTGATGTATGCCCATATAAGCATCCACGGGGACATATACAAATGTAATCATGCATGGAGTTTGCATGTTCTCAATGTGCTTGCTTGGGTTTTTTCCAGGTACTGCAGTTTTTCTCCCACACTCCATGGACATGCTGCTAGGTTGACTGTTTAATTTGGCTCTAGTTTTTTGTAATGATGCAAAGGGACTTTTGATGGGAATGTACAACATATGTAAAATTGTTGGTGATATATAAATACCTGTAAAAAATAAATAAATAAGTAAATTAGCAATACAGCCACAAATCAAACTGCCACTCATTTACCACACTTTTCTGTGTATTTGCAAACCTTTGGCTGGAATCCTGGCTAGCCAACTATGATAGACTTAGCATTATAGATGAGAAAATAATTTCTTGCCAAACAGATGCAATATTTAATCCCAGGTTTACCTACAAAAAAAATACAAAATCAGAACAAGGTGCAATACTTCCATTCCATGTGATGTGCCACTTGTGCTTCTGTTTTCAAGTTCAGTAGAAATCTTCCTCCTCTAATGCCCCCCACCGCTGTAATCTTCTGGTTCAGTGGGTGTTATTGGAACCCAGGAGCTGTCACAGGCTGTCATCAAGTGCCTGACTATGACCGTGCTTTCCACCATTCTCGGAAACCTTTACTACAGCTTTTATGAATTGAGGACTAGTGGATGGATGAAAGGTTTGCTCCCTCCATTCATAGATTATATTTCACTCATAGAAGCTGTAATAACAGCTTCTATGCATGGAGGAGCTGGGCGAAGAAGGTGGGTATATTCGGACACAGAGTTACATAGTTTTGTACAGAGTGGAGAGGAATTACAACACCTGTCAGTTGTTATTGCTGTCTGTGCCCCCGTTAGGCAGATTCCCTCTCTCTATTTGTCCCGTTTACTGTTATCATTGAAAGTAAAAGAAAATGCCAATGTTTGGGTTGTCCCCAGAAAAGTAATAAAGGGGAAATCTTTCAATGGTGACACAAGTTCTGGTAACCTGGGGGTTACCAAAGAGATTCCCCTAATTTGCAGGGATTTCCTCTCACTTCATGTTTGGCTATGGGACAGGCAGTGAAGGAAAATCTCCCCAATGGGACACAGCTGGCAAACAAATACACTGACAGGGGTTGTAACCTTCCTTTTATTCTATCCAAAATAAAAAGGAAGTTCTAGTTCTCCTTTAATGAAAGCCTGTGACAGCTCCTCAGTTCTAATAACCCCTGCCACACTGGAAGAATATGGGGTAAGATGGTAGTATCAGAACACAGAAGATTTCTACTGAACTAGAAAACAGAAGCACAAGGGACACATCACACTAAAGATAAGTAATGTCCTTTGCAATTTTTTTTTTTTTTGTAGTAAAGTTACACTTTAAATAGCCGTCAGGCAGGTGTTAGTTTGTCTCAATGCTACTTTATAGCAGCAGAAGGAGGAATTTATAAATGAAGCTATTAAATAAAGCTGTCTCTCTTCTCCTGTTTTTCACTGCCTTGATGAGACAGAATAGATAAATGTCTCCCTTGCTGTCTCTTTATTAAAATTAAGCTACCAGTCTGAATAGCCAAAAAACTGTTTTGGAAGTCAAAGAAAAGTCTACAAACTATCAAACGCTACTCTAATTGATCTGATAGGAATTTTATTATTTATTTCAGGTACTTATATAGCGCCGTCAATTTACGCAGCTCTTTACATATATATTGTACATTAATATCAGTCCCTAACCCTCAAGGGGCGTCCAATCTAAGGTCCGTAACTTACATTCATACATACACATACTAGGGCCAATTTAGACAGGATCTAATGAACCTACCAGCATGTCTTTGGAGTGTGGGAGGAAACAGGAGTACACGGAGGAAACCCACACAGGCACAGGGAGAACATGCAAACTCCAGGCAGGTGATGCCGTGGTTGGGGTTCGAGCCAACGACCCTAGTACTGCCAGGCAGAAGTGCTAACCATTTAGCCACTGTGAATTTTGAGAGCTTTCCCCGGTAGTTGTTAACAGTCTGTTCCAGAGGGAAGAGATGAGAGAAGACAAGAGCTGTCATTGAGTGACGTTGATGTCATTTAGTGTAGAAACTGTTTCTTTGTGAGATGTTTTGGTTCTCCTTCAACCTTAGGGTGAATTTAAAAAAAACATTCTTGTTGAAGCGCAATTTTATTTCATAGGTCCCTGTGTCACTGATGACAAAATGGGCGAGATTTACTAAAACTGGTGCAGCTGTGCATGGTAGCCAATCAACGTCTAACTTCCACTTGTTCAGTTAAGTTTTGACAATAAAACCCAGAAGTTGATTGGTTTCTATGCAGATCTGCACAAGACTTTGCATGCTCCAGTTTTAGTACAGCTTTTCAAATGTGTCAATATATTGATTGTAATGTGATTGTGAACAGCAATTTGAATTAAAGGTAAACCTAGTCACACATCTGTGGGTTCACCTAATTATTGTTTACAGACGTGTTTCATGCAAATTCATAGTTAGTTTTTACTCAATTTAATCGTAGAAACGTCAAGGGATGGACATTAAACAAATGAAGACTTTTGTTTCCCAAGAACTGAAGGGATTGAAACAAGAACATCGGTTACTGAGTTTACGTATGTGGTAACCTTTCTAAACCTCCTGTTTTTGTTTAATTTTTTTTGTACTGTTAATCAAGTATTTTATTCAACCAATGTTTCTTGCTGGATAAAATATGATGATAATTTCTACTTGGATTTTTTGTGAACACCTTAGAGGTTAATGATGATAACCTAGTTTTTTTTTAATTTTTCTAAAGATATTGGGGCCTGTGAATCAATAATGAAGAGGAAAACTAAACAAGATTTTCAGGAGTTACTGAAATCTGAGCACTGTGAGTATTTTACAAGATTTCAATATTTTAGTGTGTGTGCGTGCGTGCGTGCGTGCGTGCGTGCGCACGCGCTCTTGGACCAATGCGCTTAAAGTGGAGCAATACTCGCCTCCTATCCTGCAATGTGCTGTCCCAGAGCTCCCCACCTGGCCGCAGACATCTTTGTGCAGGCGGCTTTCGGGTCCTGAATGCTGGATGTGGATGATGTCACTCCCACGCATGTGCAGGAGTTCCATCAAATTCGGCATTGTACTCACTGTACAGGGGTGGACAAGCAGATAGGTAGCTTTAATGCATAAGAGACAAAGCATGTCTCTTGTGTGGTCCTGCCTGACCACCCATTTTTAATTTTTACCTAAAGTTCCACTTTAACAAATGAATTTGTCCCAGAGATCAGTGGTAAACCACAGTTTACTACTTCCAAGGCTTCCGTTTGAGCCACTTCTGGCACCATCAATCCTTTCTGTGAAATGCGCAAGTATTGATGCCTTGAATACCCGCAGTTTAGCCAAATTCTGACATGAGTAAGGGCCATGTCAGACAAGCGGTTCCATTAGGTAAAGTGGTTACCCAGTTTGAGTGATTCTGCTGCTGTTATCTAACTGATCACATCTAGTCTCACTTTGAGTCTCATGGGACAGGCAGTCCATTTTTCCATTCGACCGCCCATAGATGACAGCGGGCTGTGCTCTTGACCGCTTTGCATAAGCAGAGTGGACACGGACCTGTAATTTGCTTGCTTGGCAGGGATCAGCAGACAGAACCCCTGCTGAGCAAGCGGATCCACTGACGGTCTGCCCCATGAGAAAGGGACCTATATTGTTTGAGTTCTGCTGTAGGAAGGTCACTGAAAAAAAAAAGTTTAAATCTATGTATAAACTATACAGAACTTTTTTTTTTTTTTTTTTTCTTAGGATGTTTTTAAAAATCTGTACATGAGATAACGTAGACAACACAAATGCTTGTGAAATAAATGGTGATACTTATTTTCATGCGATGATAGTAGTTTAAACACTTCAGTTCTTGCACCTGTTTACCCTTTACAGTAGTGCTCAAAAATTTGCATACCCTTGGAGAATTGATAACAGTATGTACCATTTTTAAAGAAACCATGAGTGAGCAGGCAAAACACATTTCTTTTATTTTTATGTTAGTCATAACTGAATGGCACAATCATAAAACAAAACATGGCAAAAAACAAACAAATGAAATGACCCCTGTTCAAAATTCTGCATACCCTTAGTTCTTAATACTGTGTATTGCCCCCTTTAGCATCAATGAGAGTGTGCAGTCTTTTGTATTAGTTGTCTATGAGGACCCGATTTCTTGCAGGGTGGTATAGCTGCCCATTCGAAAATACAGCAAACTCTGTACTCCTGCACTTTGGGATGGACTCGGTTAGGGTTATGGTAACATCACAGATATCCTGGAAAATGCACTCCTTGCTGCCCTCAACAGACCGGGGTAGTCCAATGTCACTGGATACAAATAAAAACAAACAGAGGGCGCACTGGCCTAGTGAATTATTGTAAAAACTTTATTGGAAGGATAAAAAGTAAGTATCGTACTCACAATAGGCAAACAGGTCAAAGCACATCGCACATCACACTATACAGCGGTGTCCAATCCACATTGCATATAAGTCCAAAAAAATGGAACCCTGGACTTCCGACAGGCTAACACGTTTTAAGGTCTCAACCTCTTCCTCAGAGCCACTGGTGGTTGTGAGGAAGAGGTTGAGACCTCGAAACACGTTAGCCTGTTGGAAGTCCAGGGTTCCATTATTTTTTACAATAATGCACTAGGCCGGTGCGCCCTCTGTTTTGTTTTTCTTTGTATCCTACGGCTGCCCATTCATCTTGGCAAAATGCCTCCAGGTCATGCAAAGTCTTTGGTCTTCTTGCACAAACCGCACGTTTGTGATCTCCCCACAGTGGTTTGATGATATTAAGGTCAGGAGATTATGATGGCCACTCCAGAACCTTCACCTTCTTTTGCTGTAACTACTGCAGGATCAACTTGGCCTTGTGTGTAGGGACATTGTCATGCTGGAAAGTGCAAGAGTGACTTATGTGCAGCTTTCGTGCAGAATAATGCAAATTCTGTGCCAGTGTTTTCTGGTAACATGCTACATTCATCTTGCCATCAATTTTCACAAGAATCCTCGTACCTTTAGTTCTCACACCCCCAAAACATCAGTGAGCCATCACATGCTTCACAGTGGGGATGGTATTCTTGTTGCTATAGGCCTTGTTGACCCTTCTCCAAAGGTAGCACTTATGGTTGTGACCATAAAGCTCTATTTTGGTCTTTTCACTCTAGATTACAGTGTGCCAGAAGCTGTGAAGTGTATCAAAGTGTTGCCGGGCATATTGTAACTGGGCTTTTTTGTGGCATTAGCACAGTAAAGACTTCTTTCTGGCAACTCGACAATGCAGCTCACTTTCGTTCAAGTATCGTCGTGCTGCGCTCCATGAAACAACCACAACCAGTCTTTTTCCAGAACAGCCTTTATTTCTGCTGAGGTTACCTGTGGGTTTTTCTTTGTATACCAAACAATTCTTCTGGCAGTTTTTTGGCTGCAGTTTTTCACTTCTTAATAAGTGAACAGTACTGACTGGAATATTCAAAGCTTTAGATATCTTTTTTATCCTTTTTCATCCTTATAAAGCTCCATTATCTTCTTACGCAGGTCTTTTGACAGTTCTTCATGGCTCAGTATCTAGCCTGCTCAGTGCATCCATATGAGAGCCAACAAACTCATTGACTATTTATACACAGACACTAATTGCAATTTAATTGCCATTTTAGCCTGTGTGTGTCACCTTGTGTGTCTGTACCAAGGCCAAACATTCCAGGGTAAGCAAACTTTTGATCAGGGCCATTTGGATAATTTCTGTTATCATTATGATTTAACACGGAGCCAAACAACTGTGATAATAAATGGATTTATTTGATCACTATTCTTAAAGTGATTGTAAAGGCTCAAGGTTTTTTACCTTCATATATTCTATGCATGACGGTAAAAAACCTGTGTACAGCAGTGCACCCAGCCAATGTTGGCTTGCAAAATTGTTTTGTTTTTTTTTTGTTTTTTTTGCAATCTATAGATAAAAAAGTTTGTAAAATAATGTTTTATTACCCTTTTACCTCCACCCTCTTAGTAGCTCCTGACAACCCCCATCAACCCAAATCACTACCTTACCTATATCTTGGTCCAAGGCTTGTAGCTTTGTTTGCATCCATCCATCCCTCCCCAGGTTTCTTGATCAGGTATCTGCATCTGAACAGTTCAGCTGCATAGACTTCTGTAGTCCACACCTGTTCATCTGTTAACCCCATAGAAATCTACAGGGACAGGTTTCTCAGAAAAACTTGTAAATATTTTTCCTCACCCTTTAATACTTTTTTGAGGCTTTGACCTGGAACAAATATGCACATCAGAAGTCTTGATTTCAGCAGCTTTCTAATCTGCATGCTTCTCTACAACCATGATTTAGAAAGTGTTGCAGCCAAATACAGTCAGGCAAATGGTAGTCTAAGAAGGAGGAAAGTGCAGCCAATACAGAAAAGGTTTATTTTAACAGTGTGTGAATATGATTGGTTAAAGTGGAGTTCCACTCACCTGTCAAAAAATAAAAGTCAGCAGCTACAAAAACTGTAGCTGCTGACTTTTAAAAAAGAGCCACTTGCCTGTCCCTCGGTCACGTGGTGTGTCCCCTGCAGCCCGTTTCACCGCCCGTCCTGTATTCCAGGAGGCCGGCATCTTCAGTGTGGGCACCTGGCTGTGATAGCTTGCGGCTTCACAGCCAGATACCCGCTGCGAATGCGCGAGTAGCGCTGTGCTTCATAAATGGTCCTGTAGTCTTCTGGGACCTGTCACGTGTCCCAAAAAACTACAGGAAGGGAGGGAGGGAGGACACCTTCCGATTGCCTAGGCGATCAGACCAGAAGTGGGAATGGGAAACCCCACCCAACAAAGGTGCCAATCCTTAATGGGGAGCGGGGGAGCAGTCCTTAAAGCGGAACTTCCCCTTTTGGGTGGAGCTCCACTTTAAAATATAGTTTTAAAAGCTCCAGAGCTACAGGTATATATAATAAATACTCTATAATTGTACAGTAAACCATATATTTCTTTGCTGTAATCCACTAGATAATTCAAAACAAAAATGAATCCTTACATTACATGAGGCTATTATTATTTCTGTAGGAAGTTTCAGCTCTGCCTCCTGGATCATGCCTGAACTGTACTTGAACTCTGAAGTTGTTTAAAGACATATACAACAGCAACAGATAAGGTCAATTGCATGTGTGGTTTTTTTTCCCAGTTTTCCCTGCTCTGCCTCTTCTCTTTCATTTCAGAAAGCAATGCAGGCACTTCCATTGTCAGCCTGATAAGACACAACTTGTGTGCAGGGGAGGATGAGAATTTTTTCTTTTATATTTTTTTTTTTTTTTTTTTATTCTTTGTTATAATATTTTGTACAGGGACAGAATACGGACATGACACATCAAAAGATTTTACATGCTGAAGTCACCTAGTTCAAAAACTTCAATAATGCTTCAAACTCGTTTGAAGCAGTTATAGACGTACAGTGCATCTATGTCTTGTAAGAAAGAAGCCAGAGGCACCACTATCCAGTCCTCTCATACCAGTATCCTAAAAACAAAAGACTTGGAATAAGAACACCAAACTATAATAAAACATATACCAATAACGTAAGAAGAATAATATAGGAACAGGGGTGAAAGAAAAAGTAAATAGGAGGGGAAGGTGGAGATGAGGTTGTCTTCTCTATGCGTACAAAAGGAGTATAATACTTCTACCATCTGCTCCAGAATCTCTTTATAGCCTAGAGAACAGGTATACTCCATCCAAGAGAACAAGGCGCACCAGAAGTTTTCCTCTTTGCCTTTCAGAGAAGCTGTGATAATCTCTTTGTGTTTAAAAGATTAGTTCACCTTTTTAACAAAAAAATATTTGCAGGTAAAAAAATGTGCATTTATTGTTTTTTGTTTCTGGAGCCTCAAAAGCATTGCACCAGTGATCAGCAGTTCTCCTGCACACTGTCAGTGTATCTGCTTGCCCGTACGTTCCATACGGGCAAACAGATACTTACCGACAGGAAGATTCAATGAACTACCACGGCGCTCCACAGTGCCGTGATAGTTAATTGAGAGCTACAAGCTGACAGCCGCAAAGACTGTTGGAACATGTAGTGTTCTCATTCACAGAATGCTGTGGCGGAGCCCTGCATGGCTGCATTTCTTTTAAATTGTGACAACTGGCTGGGGAGAAGATCCCCCACTAGCTGCTGTCACAACGGGGAGCGGGGAGGAGTGGGGGCTGGTCCGTTTTTAACATGTTACACCCTGAATATGGGTGTAACATATAACATGTTACAAAATTTGAACTTCTCCTTTAAGTTTGTTTAATTTTTGATAACCACAATAACAGGGCTAGGGGTATTTACATTCAATAGGTGGATCACATTTTTTTTTTTTTTTTATATAACTGTTTTTAGGGAGAGGTACAGTGGGGATCGAAAGTTTGGGCACCCCAGCTAAATATTGTATTAATGTGCATAAAGAAGCCAAGGAAAGATGGAAAAATCTCAAATGGCATCAAATTACAGATTAGACATTCTTATAATATGTCAACAAAAGTTAGATTTTATTTCCATCATTTACACTTTCAAAATAACAGAAAACAAAAAAATGGCGTCTGCAAAAGTTTGGGCACCCTGCAGAATTTATAGCATGCACTGCCCCCTTTGCAAAGCTGAGACCTGCCAGTGTCATGGATTGTTCTCAATCATCGTCTGGGAAGACCAGGTGATGTCAATCTCAAAGGTTTTAAATGCCAGACTCATCTGACCTTGCCCCAACAATCAGCTCTTCTAAGCAGTTTTCTAGAAAACTGAAACTGAAAATAGTTGACGCTCACAAAGCTGGAGAAGGCTATAAGAAGATAGCAAAGCGTTTTCAGATGTCAATATCCTCTGTTCGGAATGTAATTAAGAAATGGCAGTCATCAGGAACAGGGGAAGTTAAAGCAAGATCTGGAAGACCAAGAAAAATATCAGACAGAACAGGATAGTGAGAAAAACAATTCAAAACCCACGTTTGACTGCACGATCCCTCCAGAAAGATCTGACAGACACTGGAGTTGTGGTACACTATTCCACTATAAAGAGATACTTGTACAAATATGGTCTTCATGGAAGAGTCATCAGAAGAAAACCTCTTCTACGTCCTCACCACAAAAATCATCGTTTGAACTTTGCAAATGAACATATAGACAAGCCTGATGCATTTTGGAAACAAGTTCTGTGGACCGATGAGGTTAAAATTGAATTTTTTGGCCGGAATGAGCAAAGGTACGTTTGGAGAAGAAGGGGCACAGAATTTAATGAAAAGAACCTCTGTCCAACTGTTAAGCATGGGGTTGGATCAATCATGCTTTGGGGTTGTGTTGCAGCCAGTGGCACAGGGAACATCTCACGAGTAGAAGGAAAAATGGATTCAATAAAATTTCAGCAAATTTTGGATGGTAACTTGATGCCATCTGTGAAAAGCTGAAGTTAAAGAGAGGATGGCTTCTACAAATAGATAATGATCCTAAACACACCTCGAAATCCACGGGGGATTACATCAAGAGGCGTAAACTGAAGGTTTTGCCATGGGCTTCACAATCTCCTGACCTCAACATAATTGAAAATCTATGGATAGACCTTAAAAGAGCAGTGCGTGACAGACAGCCCAGAAATCTCAAAGAACTGGAAGACTTTTGTAAGGAAGGATGGTCAAAGATACCTCAAACAAGAATTGAAAGACTCTTGGCTGGCTACAAAAAGCGTTTACAAGCTGTGATACTTGCCAAAGGGGGCAGTACAAGATATTAACTCTGCAGGGTGCCCAAGCTTTTGCAGACGCCATTTTTTTGTTTTCTGTTATTTTGAAAGTGTAAATGATGGAAATAAAATCTAACTTTTGTTGACATATTATAAGAATGTCTAATCTGTAATTTGATGCCTTTTGGAGATTTTTCCATCTTTCCTTGGCTTCTTTATGTACATTATTACAAATTTTTAGCTGGGGTGCCCAAACCTTTGATCCCCACTGTAAATGATGGAGTAGATAGGCTGCTGGCTCAATGCCCAAAGCAAGGTCAGAGAATGAGAATTTTTTTTTTTTCTTGTGAGCATTGCTCAACATGCCTCTATAAATCTCTGTTTTGCCATCTTTAAGTGGAACTCCTACAAAAACTTTGCTTTTCTGCATGGAGTGGGGAAGGGTCATATACTCTCTGGTTGCTGCTGATGTTGCCTTTTGCAGATATTTCCCCTCTCTTCCTGACTGTGACCACACAGGAAAAGAGGGTAATTTCCCAGGGAAGACATAAAAAACACACTGTAATGATTCACCGCAGTACTAATTAAAGAAATAAGATTCCTAAGGTAATTCTATAGAGAATCAACCAATAAGAGCAAATCGGAGATCATCTCTCTCCGACCTTAACTAACCATCCTGCTTCACCCCCAGCTACATACTTGCTGAGTTTATGGGTACAGTCTCAAAAAAGTCTGCAGGGGTCAATTGCACAGCTGCAAACAAGAGGAAGAAAATCCCACATGCTCAGATGCAGGGGCGGACTGACCATTTGGAAACTCTGGCACTGCCCGGGGTCAGTAGGGGGCCCCATGAGATGCCCCTGGTACCTTTTTCATAGGCTTTTTTGAGTTTGTGCAAGGACACAGGGGCCCCATGATCCCCAATTGCCTGGGGGCCCCATGAGTTGTCAGTCTGCCCCTGGTCAGATGTAAATATTACAGCAGGTTGCAACTGTAAGTTAGTAGCTGGGGAAAAGGGTGAACTAGCTACGATTGAGAACATGGAGATCATGATAATTTTTTAAATTTGTTTAATTTTTGGACTATTCATAAAATCTGATCGGTTGCAATGACTACTACATCTTTACTATTAGTGCTGTATCATTAAATAAATATTTTTTATTCACTGATAACCCACAAAACATCTAATTTAGATTCTGTCACAATATTTGTATATATAGCATTACTGGAGGGATTTGATATTCGTGAGAGCATCAGTGTAATAGAAGAGCACATTAACAGACAGGTGAGTCAATCATACATTACATCGTTGTTTGTAAAGAGACACAAACAATGTTATTTATTGATGGTTGGCATTTTTTCTTGTAGGTTTCTCCCATAGATAGTCTACGCCTGCTATGTCTTCTGTCCATCACAGAGAATGGTAGGTGTGATCTCGTATTTCTATAACTTTATCTTTAGGTCATTATGAAATAGTGTCTCATGTTGTTACTATATCATGTTTGCAGGTTTAATACCTAAAGATTACAAATCACTGAAGACTCAGTACTTACAGGTTTGTGATTCTAATAAAATTTTCATCAGTAACCCTGGAAATGTTTCCTTCTGTCAGGTCCATGGAAATCTGTTTTTCATTAATATGTGTTTGCAGAGGTGAAGAACTCTGCTGTTCATTCCCTTTACCTTTCAGTGACAGTACAATCACTCCCATGAATTTCTTTAATTGCAGAGCTCAGCTGATAATTACATGGACATTGCTGTGCATAGAGCAGGACTGATATGACAGTCTGCCGGTGATACTTGCAGTCATAGAGCGAAGGGTAGTTAGATATTTTGGTAAGCATTTAATTTAAATGTGCACAAAATATAGATTATAGCAGTTACATAACAAATGTATAATATAAAGAGGTAATATCTACACCTCACAATTCTTGTGTAGATAAACATACATGACGTGGGCACTTAACCAGCAAAAGGACAAAACCCCAACACCCTCTCACAGCATCCCTATTAAAGTGACACTAAACAATATCCTTATTCTTAAAAAATAATCCATACTCATCCACTACTTAAAGCGGAGTTCCTCTCACACTGTAAAAAAATAAAAGTCAGCAGCTACAAAAACTGTAGCTGCTGACTTTTAAAAAAACAGCCACTCACCTGTCCCACGATCCCGCCGTGTCCTCCCCGCAGCCCGTTTCACCAGCTGTCTGGTGTTCCAGGCGCTGGCATCTTTAGTGTGGGCACCCGGCTGTGACAGCTTGCGGCTTCACAGCCGGGTGCTCAGTGCACATGCGCGAGTAGAGCTGCGCTTCCTGAATGGACTGGTAGTCTTCTGGGACCTTCAGAAGACTATGGGGAGGGAGAGTAGGAGGACAATTTTCGGGTACCCGCTCCCCAAAGGTGCCAATCCTTAATGGGGAGTGGGGGACCAGTCTTTAAAGCAGAACTTCCCGTTTTGTGTGGCGCTCAACTTTAATGGCCCTGTAATCTATTTTTCATTAAATCCTACTGTGTTTTTTCTGCCAACTATACAAAAAATGGCAACCGTCCCAACCTATAACCAGCCTTAGCAGTAAGGCGCACATGGAAGGACAATGCGCATCGCAAACAAAGGATTTCCCAGCAACACTTACCAGCCTGCCTGCAAAACAACCAATTTGGCCCAGTTTTCATTAAAAACAGAGGGTATTGCTTGCACACATTTGCAAATACATGCATAAGCCACAGTCCCGCGTCAAGGATCCTCTGTGGACCTAACTGAAATTTCCAAGCCTTCATAGTAGGAGCACAATGTGTTTTTTTTTTTTCTGCCTCCTTGTAGCATCCTCTTTGAGCTCCCCAACCTATACTTTTCCCCATTCACTTCTGTTCGCTTGGAACAAGCAGTGAACGTTGGTTGCAATCATGTACACTGCTTTATGCACACTACTAATACCGTAGACCATAGTCCATCTCGGGAATGGGCAAGAGAGGGTGGCTATGTTCCTACATACTGTACAGTGGGATCATGGAGAACAAATGTAGTCACCCTCTAACAGAAAGTCAGATCACAGTAGGAAAACAAACCAAAAAAATTGTATCAATTTGAGGGAGGCTTCAATCAACAGGAGGTACTTGAAGGCAATAGAACACATACTTGAATAGAATCTTCTTTTTTTAACCCAGGGTTTGGTGCCACTTTAGCCTGGGTTCACACTGATGCAGTGCGGAATTTTCAGCGTTTTCTGTGCGAATTCTGCACCGCATCACAATTGCACCCCATTCATGTGAACTGCTGCGGGTATGTATGTTAAGTTAACAACACACCCGAAATCGGTCCGCAAAACGCGCTGCAATGTGCAGAATCGGATAGCATAGCTGCGAATACCCATGTGATCTGATTCTAGTGCGGACTAAAAAAAAGGGTCCTGCACCTTTTTGGTGCAGATGCGGTGCGTTTGAGCCTTACAAAATATATGGCTCAAATCGTACTGCATACAATTCGCATGTAATTTGCACAGGAAAGCGATGCAGTTCCTGTGCGAATCACATGCGATATACTGCACATGTGTGAACCCAGACTTAAGTCTCATACTTACCTGTGCTCTCTCCACCGATATCTTTGCAGTGCAGCCTGTCCAACCCTACGCAGCCTTTCTTCAGAATTCTGTAAATGTTTCTGATTTTATTTTCCCGATTTTTACTCTCAGGATTAACAAATGCCATTTTTTACCCATTTAAGTAACCTAGACATTTACAGTGAAACACTATTAGGGATCACAGCTCATAGTTTCAAAACATGAAATAAATATGATAAAAGATTTGTATCCTTTATGTTTTGTAGAGTTATGGCCCAGAGCACCTGCTAACATTCTCTAACCTTAAACGAACTGGCCTTCTCACTGAACAAGTCCCTGGAGAGACGCTGACTGCTGTGGAGAGCAGAGTCAGTAAACTGGTCACAGACAAAGCTGCAGGTGAGACTGGCTTTCTGTTACAGTAAACCTATTTTGGCAAAAGCATAAGCAATCACAAATCCCCATACAAGTCCATACATACAGTATAAGGTAACTAGGAGTATGTAATAGTATGGTTCTGATGCATACAGTTGTTTGAAAATTTGGTTTTAGTAGCATTCTGTCATGACAGTTTTGCTTTAATTCAAATGAGCAATAGTGAGTCAAAATGGGATTGCACTTTTAATATACCTTAAATCCTATATTCAGGCAGATCAAGCAAGTTTTTAAAGATTTTATTGTTTCAAAATTTTCCTTGTCCCCTTCTGCCCCCTCCTTTTACTTTAATCGTAGCTTATAAGTGGTTTGCATGAATCCTCATCTACTGGACTCTGAGTAATGGGGCATGCATTAAACATCCGGCATGCAATTCTATACATTATCTCCTCTTATATCTACTAAGCAAGTCCTAATCTTCTTGAATGTGCGAGGGCTGGGAGATACCTGTAAAAAGCAAGCCATGCTAAATGCTCTATGATCCGACTGTGATTTGCTTGCAGGAGACACATAAAGACCGATAAACTGTTACTTTTTAAATAAATCTAAGTTTCAATTTCACTCTGCCCACTCTACCTATGCGAGGGGTGTGAGCATCGTTATTAAGTCATCAGCTTCTTTCTGCACACGAGTCAAGTTGGATAATCAAGGAAGATACGGCTTCCTGTTGTGTACCTTAGCGAATAGGCAATACCTATTAGCAAATATTTATGTACATTCGCCTTATCGAAATGAGGCTCTTTTGAAACTGTCCTGGGTAATGACTGAATACTCCTCTGTCCTAGTGGTGGCAGTTGGGGAATTTAACAATCTGTTGGACCCATCCTTAGATATACTCACTCCAGCAGGGGGCAGTATTGTGCATGGTAGCTCAGGTCTGGCCTATCAGGTGCGAGAATTAGGACTTTATGATGTCTGGCGTGAGCAGCACCCACAGAAACAGGCCTATACATGCTGTTCTAGTACATACCAGTCCCTCTCTCATATATACCTGGCCTTATGCCCCGCCAGCAAGCTCCCTTGGATTGCATCTTTTTCTAAACTTGGGTGAGAGGGACCTGGAGGATCCTAATTGGGCAATTTTACTCTCACTTAATTTTGAATTCCCATTGCTGAACACCCCCCCATTGCTGCTGTTTCAGCTCTGGCTGCAGGTGTGGAATCTGATGAAGTGGGAGGGATATAACTGTTATACACCTATAAGGAATAATGCATTCCTACCAGAATTTAATACATTGCAAGGCTTCGGTCTGTGGCAGGAGAGGGGAGTCAGATATTTGAACCAATTGTATGAGGGCTGTGTATTTCAGTCGCTTCAGGTGGAATTTCATTTACCCACTCAAATGTTTTTCCCGTCCTTACAATTGAGACATGCTATACCTGTTCAGGCTGCACATTTCAATTAACCGATTATAAAAATGTAAACCTTGGACTACTAACTAAAGCTGACTCCAGAAAAGGGCTTCTTTCTCATACATATGGGATTTTAATGACTGATATACAAAACCGTACTCTAATCCATTCTTGGTAGAGCTGGGAAGAAGATCTGGGCCTCTTAATGGGAGACTTATGGGAGCAGGCACTGACTTTTCTTCCCCTAGTGTCCTTGTCACTAAATCAGAGGCTTACTCAACTGCTTATACTTCATAGAGTTTACTATACCCCTGCTAAACTGTATAGGTGGAGGTGTAGGGATACGGATGTATGCCCTATATGTGTAAGAGGCCTGGCAGATTATATCCATATGTTATGGCGCTGCCCAAAACTCCATAGGTATTGGCAAGAGGTTGTGTCTCTCATATCCTCCATATATCAGATTTTCTATCCCTAGACCCTAAATTGTGTCTTCTCAATATCTTTGATGATTCTTTGGCTCCTGACGAGGCAGTAGATCTTATATTTAGATTGCTTCATATAGCACGGAAAGTAATTGCCCAAAAATGGATGTCCTGTAGCCCTCCAATGACTATGGAGTGGAAAAACCAAATTAACATTATTTCCAGAGAGAAGCTCATATACCAGCATAGGAACTGTACCTGAAAATTTGATAGGGTATGGAACCCCTGGCTGACAATGCCTGGTTTGGCCCCATTCCACTTGATTTCAGACCGGCTACTGTCCCTTTTGGGTTTAGAGGCACTAAATGCACCTAAAGTCTAGATATTACTTTTTCGAAGAGGTCTCATTGTAACACAAGTCATATGTAATCAATCAATACTCTGGTCTGTTTGTGCAAGTTTTTTTTCTTTTTTGTTTTTTGAACAAATAAAACATAGTGCAGTGTTTAGATATGTGAATCAAAAAAAAAAAAAAAAGATCCGAGTAAACAATACAAGACAAGCTCATTCATTAATCAATAAAAGTTCTCTGTAAGGTAATAACAGATATTTTATATCTAAGGGATCCTGCAAATCATGTGTTGTTAAACCCAGGACTACTGCAGAGATTAATACAGTCAATAAGGCACAGTCACCTGTATTCTGGTATTTATTACCCAAAAGAGTCAAAGAGACTATTTGTGCAAGTTTGGTTAGGTTTAGGTTACAGATTCATGTCCATACAGTGTACCTACCTTATGTGGAACATATTAGTGAATCAATAGTTATAATTTTATGTTAATGTTGTGTTCTCTACCTTGCTACCAAATGAACTAATGTCTGTTGATTATGGGTGTCCGTATGCTTACGGAAGTTGCTAATAGCTTTGTTTGGATTACTTGAACTGTCATTGTATGTCTGGCTACCTTCTTAGTTTGTTGTCTGTAAAGTGCCGCTAATGTGGCTGTGTAATTAAAAGAGAAGTATGGTAATTTTTTTTTTTTTTTTAAATTATACTTACCTAGGTCAGGGGTGGGCAACTGTGGCCCTCCAGCTGTTGGTGAACTACAAATCCCATCATGCCTCTGCCTTTGGGATTCATGCTTGTGATTGTCAGTTTTGCAATGCCTCATGGGACTTGTAGTTCTACAACAGCTGGAGGGCAACAGTTGCCCACCCCTGACCTAGGTGGATGCAGCTTCAGTCCAATGCTGCATCTGTCCCCACTGGCTTAAATCACATGAACGCCAATTGCTGAGTTCTCACAGCCACTCTGAGCAGAGAGCGGGACTGTCAGTCACCGCTGTCTGCTCAGCCCTCCTAGCGCTCACTGGAGTGCTGGGCTGTGGAGGGGGAGGGAGCAGACTCTTGGGTGGGTCCCGACTTTGAAGTCAGGATCTTTCCCCAGCCTGGACCGGCTGAGTGATGTCAGCTGACAGCAGGCTGCAGCCCTCTGTCAGCTGAAAACAGGTCACAGGAGTGCAGAACAAACTGCACTCCTGTGATCCACAAGAGAAATACAGCCAAAAGAGCTTCACAACTGTACTTCTCCTTTTAGGCCTGGTTTACACTGAATGCTGCTTTGAAATTGCGCTGCTTCACTTGAAGAAGCGCAATTTCAAAGCTGCTGCTCAGTGCGGTTTACAGATTTATAAATTGTGACTTTTGATGTGGAGATGCAGCACACCGTGGGGGGGAAAAAAAGACACAGCAAGTGTGTACATACCCTGGTACTCTCTGTTTACTACTTTTTCTTCTGATGGCCATTCTCCTTTTATTACAATTCATAGAACAATTTATTACAGCATTAGCCAGACTTCAAATTTTAACAACTTCAAAGTTCACAAAATAATATTGAGGTTGAACAGTTTGCCATATTTTCTTTCTGAATTTCCTGGATTTCATCTTCCATTTTATTTTACCTTTAGGAAAAATTACTGATGCATTCTCATCTTTAGCCAAAAAGAGTAATTTTCGAGGTATTAGCAAAAGACTTGGACTAGTAAGTAGTTTGGGATTTTATTTATACAATTTCAGGCATCATACACTGTGCTACTAGATTTATTTTGTTCTGGACAGGTAAAGGAAATCTTTTTAAAGTTTGTGTTACTCATGTAAATGTGATAAGCTTGGTGTTAATCACTTTGTTAATGTTTTATAAAGAACCTGGTTTCTCTATAAATTTTGTAAACCCATTTCTCTATCATTCATTCGCTCGCTGGCGGGGACAAAGCAGATCCTTGCAAATAAACTTTGCTTTTGAAGGATAGTCACTAAAGGGAAATTACAATGGTTCAGGGACTGTTTTAGTTCTTTTTATTTTTGGTAGGCGACAGAACAATCAAAGATCATTGACTCTGTGTAGAATATGAAACATACATAGGTTCAGGTTCTGCTTTAATTCAAAGCTCATTTTCAATGCTTTGGCTTCATTTTTAATTTTTGTCCTGCTTGAGAAGAGATAATATATGTGACTAATACAGGGGTCTCCAAAGTTTTCGGTACGAGGGCCACATCATATTATTTACAAATATTTGCTGACTGAAAAAACACCCCATCAATGTACCCCCTGACATCAGGATTCCCATAAGAATTCCCCCTTACATCAGGGTCCCCATCAGAGTCCCCTTTTATACTAGGATTACTATCAAAATCTTCCTTACATCAGGGTCCCCACCATAGTCCTCCCTTACAATTAGGTTTGCATCAGTGGCCCCCCTTCCATGAGGGCCCTCATCAAATTCCCTCCTTACATCAGGGTCCCCATCAGTGCCTCCTAACATCAGGATCCTCATCAGAGTCTCCCATTACATGAAGGAGGGGGGAGGGTTGAAGCGGGGACTATTAGCAGCCATTGTGTACGCATTAAGGATACGTCCTAATACTAGCTGTGTGGCCGATAAAAATTGTAGTGGGCCAGATGTGGCCAGCGGGCCATAACTTGGAGACTCCTGGTCTATTACTATACTAGGCTGCACACAATACTTAATAAAGCGCACACACTGCACTAAAACACTAAGCACGCAACATATACAGTACAGAATACAGAATCTAATGGACATATGACTAATGTGTGCATACAAGTAAGCATGCTCTTATAAGATGTTTGCTAGCTCAGTGTCTTATAATGAAATAATTTGCATTACATACAGAGCAAAGTGACTGTGTTTCCACAAAGGTCCCCAACCTCCATACTTGCTTTACCAGTGCTCCCTTTTCCTCCACCTCCGGCACTGAAATGGATTGTATTGGCAACCCAAGAATCGGTGATGTCACTTCATGTCATATGAAGTCACTTATGCTTTGGCCTAGCGATTGGCTGCTAGACTCAAGCACTATGATGCCACATCCTCCTTCCTACCTGGAATTAGCAGATGTTGTGGACCGCTGCAGAGATGGAAGGAGCGGTGAGGGATCACTGCTAAGGTGAGTATAATGGGGTCAGAGGGGTCTTTGCAGTGACACTAGCCCTTTGCTCTACGTGGGAAACATGACAGAGTCCGTTTAAGAGAACCCTCTGACAACACTTCAGTGTCATCACCTTGTATATATATAGACCATAACATGATGACATGTGTATAAAGCTTTTCTTGCACGTTAGTATGTGATGTACTTTTTTTTTATTAATAAATTTAATTGAACAAATATCTTAAAAGATTCCACGTGTGGATGGAGAATATGATCTGAAAACCCCAAAGGACATGGCCTATGTCTATAGTGGAGCTTACATTCCATTAAGTTGTAAATTAATAGAGCAGGTAAGTGAACATTCCATTCGTTCATAAATGATAAACTATATATGACTGCAGTGCAAAGTATCTCAACTGATGTATTCATACTTCAGGTTCCAGTAGGACAGTTGTGCTTTTCATTTACATTTCCCTGAGCTATAGCCAAAGAATTAATTATTTTTCAGGTTTTGACTCGTAAAGGTTGGACGGGTCTTGAGGAGGTTGCACGTCTGCTTAATGGCAATGAGTTTGCAGGTATGGAAGCCTTTAATAAAAAATTCATTCCTACATGATAAGTAAGCAGTTTCTACTGTAGTTGAACTTTAAGTATAATTTGACTGTGATTATCTCTCCTAAAGAGCAACTCTCAGACAGGAATTCATATTCAGAATCACAGAGGATCATCCTGGCAGTTTTCCTTGGAGGATGCACATTTTCAGAGATCTCAGCTTTGAGGTTTCTGGGAAAAGAGACAGGTACTTTTTATTATTTATTCATGTCCTTCATTCAACAATTTGGACAACAATTCATTCAACAATTTGGAACATTTATGTTCTGTGAAGTACATGTCTTTTCTGATTTTGTCACATTTTATGTCCACAAAAAAGTTAAATAGTTATAAAGACATTTAATGTATATTAGTCCACAAGAACAGAACATCTGTGCAAATAGTGTGCTGCTTTACATCTCTCTACAACCTTTCCTGGTTCTTGCAAACATGATGCGGCAAGAAAGCTCTTCCTTTGTACAGGCCATTGTAATTGTTCCGTTTCCTTGAAAGCAATACAGCTGTAAATATTGCTGTACTTTTATGCCTTAAAGTGGAAGAAAAGCTTAGCACTAGTCTTAAAAATATTCCCTCCCCATTCCTTCTACCTATCCTGCCTAACCTGTACAAGACGTGTGTACTTACCTATTTTTAATCTACCCTGCTCTGATCATGTGATCCCACAGCTTCAGCTCCCCTGTGTCAGTGAGAGGCTACTGCAGGGGAGAGGAGGGAGCATCAGGAACGACTTGGCAATGGGAGCCTATGGGTGATTTCACAGTTCCCAGAATTCCCAGCTGCTGTCAAGCGCTGCCTGAGCCGGAGCTGCAGGATCACATGACTGAACCAGAGTAGATTAAAAATAGGTAATTATACACACCTTTTTTCTATACAGGATAGATAGAAGGAGGGGGAAAGGGAACATTTTTAATAATAGTTAGGTCTAGGCTTTTCTTCCACTTTAAGTCTGTTGTAAAGTTGCCCTGTCATTCTCTGCTTCCTTAAGGAACGTAAGGAATAAATGGATTTGGGAAACAAAATGTAAAAAATTTCTCTTACACTCTAGTGGGGCAAGGTGCACTCAGGGTAGAGATATAATTACTACACAGCACAAGCACAAATCAAAATTTGAAACAGTACTTTCACCTAGTGATCAATTCTGCTTCAGCTTTAGCCCCTTAAGATGCCAAGAGCCTACATGACTTAGTCCTACCCAATCAAACAGGAGTATTGTGTTAAAGCACATCTTTCAGTCAAAATCAAGGATCAGCTGTTCTTCTATCCCCTTTTCCCTTAGACTCCGGGTTGGGGGCTGAAGAATAGTGGATTCTTAATTTTCAAAGTCTAATAAGGTTTAAAAGTTGACAATATTGAAAGTGAATGCAACACTCATAGTACACAGTCCAGGTTTAAAGGGAAACAAATGAATTAATGTCACAATTATAAATGATATATATATATATATAGTTTAATGTTTATTTGTGAAATAAGGAATACTTAAAGTGTTACTAAACCCCGGACCCTGCATTCACTATATCTGGTCTCCCACAGTACACACAACATGGAAGTGCAATTGTTTTAGTTTTTTCCATCAGCAGTTAGAGCAGTGTTGTGACTTCTATCCGTGTCCAGCAGAGCACATGTTAAAGCTTTTAGTAGTTTTCATTCTGCTTTAGGAGGATGCAGAACCCTGACTTCTGCCTGGACAGTGCTGATTGGCCATGTACTGATCACATGCACACTCCCAAAGAAAAAAAAAAAAACCTTTCTAACAATACACACCAAATTGAGCATGTGCAGAGAGACTCCGCACAATATGTCTTATCAGGAGATAAGAGGGGGGGGCACTGGAAGAAGGGGAGGATCTGAGAAGTAAGGATCAAACAGCCTTTTTACACAATGCAGAGGATTAACCCCTTAGGTTCCACAGTGAGTATAACAAGCATTCTTTACTGTATATACAGACTGATTTTACTGTTGTGGGTTTAGTAACACTTTAAATACAGGGTGCATTCATGATACTAGTGTCATAGAGCATTATGGGTTTTCTATAGGGAGAGCACAGCAGTAGCTGTTCCTTTTTATACAATCTCACTCTAATTGAAAGTCTATGCAGGAGGAGTAGGGATGGATGACTCTGACAGTTCAGCCTTTGGTAACACTTTGGGCCAATTCATACCAAGAGTGGTGTGAGTTTACTTTATCTTACTGAAATGTCACAAAATGACATTTCATGCATCTTTGTGCACCGCAGCATATTGTGGTGTTGTATTGCACTGCAACATGCTGCACTGCAAAAAAATACAGCATGTCTTTCACTTCTCAGAACCACAGCATGGTGGTGTGAATTGAACCAATAGGACATAAGACAAATTTGCCTTGTCATTATTATTATTATTATACAGGATTACTGGTGTGGTTATATGGTAGCGCCAACAGTTTTGCCTCAGAAGCTTTACAATATAATGGCTATAAGAGACAAGTTAAACATGAACAAGAGAATAGGAAGTTCAATACAAGAGGGATAGGCAGAAAGGGCCCTGCTGGCTCGTGCCTCGTAGAGTGGGAGCTGTACAACTAGGAGCGAAGGGTGACTAAGAAGTTTCAGGCAAATGCTCAGCGCAGCCCAGTCCATGTGGTGTAAAAAGTGCCCTGTGATTTCTGTGGACTGATGAAACTTTGTTTCATGGGGGAACAATGGCCTATTACAGAAGAGAACAAAGTGTTTTTTCAGGTAGCAAAGCTTGCATCTCACCAAATATATATTCTGTTAGCAACACAGACAAAACGTATCAGTCCCTACATTTTAGGGCTACTTTTGGAGTGCTACAGTACCCTATTGAGGCTAATACGACTTATATAAGCACTTATTGCTATAAACTGGAGGCTTTCCTCTAAAATATTTATTCACTTTACAATTCACGTTTCATATATTTAAAAAGAGTATTATTGTTTTCCTATATCTAGGTTACAGATTTGGTTTTTCTAACTACATCTATTACCAAATGCTGCACGGATGATGGAATCATAAAGCAATGTGACTGGCCAAACACAATTTCAAATCATGAACCCCATCGGAGATTTCCATGTTTATACTGACCGAGGACGTTATAAAACACTGGACTAATAAAACCATGATCTTCCAGAGTACTCTTTGTTACATGTGTTCTAACTACATCATTTGTATGGAAACATTCCGCGGTACTGCATACCCAGGCCTGTTATCGAGACAACTGAGGCAGAAGACAACTCTACATTGTATGTACAACACTGTATCATGTGAAATACTTAAAGGAACTCAGTTGGTGACAGATCCTTTCTTCGACTTATAATTCTCTGTTTAAAGGGAAACTATAGTATTTTACAAAATGTTTAAAGATGTATATGTGAATGCAATCGGCTTAGTGTAAATAACATTACAAACGAACGTTAATATTTTAACTGTGTAGTTTTAAATATACTGTATGTACCAAACAGGTTTTGCTGATGGCTCATTAGTGCTACTCAATGACTTTGCTTCCATTCCTCTCTCTCAGTACTAGTCTATGGGTCAGGTCTAACCTTATTAAAATGTATCGGGCCAAATGAGCTTTTCTACAGTACAAGCAGATGCTTCTTGCCTTCTCTGTCCATGCTCCACAAGCAATTTGAATCTCTTGCTACTGAGATTAGGAACTGCTTTATGGAACGAACTGTATTTCTAGGACAATGAAATCATTGTGAAGCCATTGAGATAAGCAGTTACATCTCTCAGAGAGCGAGTGATGTGCAAAGGAGGGGGGGGGGGGGGAAATCAGAGGACATTTATTAAGCACAGTGCCTATAAACATTGCTTGTTATGCTCTTACAGTTCTTTGATTTACCTGCCATGGATATGACTATACTGTAACTATATTCTCTTTGCACACATTCCTGGAAGTATAGCTCATCAATAGAGGGTGCGGTAGCGACTGCCAGCTGGGACTGGAACCATCATAGGCAAACGTACATATTTGCCAGCACACCACGGATCTCAGTATGGTCCAAAAAACGTTTTTTATTTCAAAAAGATCACATCACAAAGGAAAGTGCAATGTTTTGGAGCCGCACAGGGCCCCTTCGTCAGGCATGTGATCACATGCCTGAGGTGTAGTGGTCCTGCGTGGCTCTGAAACGTTGCACTTTCCTTTGTGGTGTGATCTTTTTTAAAAAATAAAAACCTTTTTTGGACCATATTGAGATCCATGGTGTGCTGGCAAATATGTATGTTTGCCTATGAATATGACTACTTTTTTTTTTTTTTTTTTTGTTCCTAGTGTTTTTTTGTGGAAAATATTATGTTAAACAGTACAGTTCTTCCTGCAAACTGCTTCTCCCATACAGCGGCACAGGGACTGTGTTCTCTATTATGATGGCAATAGGCAACTTCAAACTGCACACCATAAACCAACAAATTGTAAGTAAATTCTGGAAGCAGGCGAATGATTGCCTGATCACCAACACAACATCCAGATTTTCAGATGGTCATTTTAGACAATAATGATGTTATTATAAACATTTAAAGATATTAAGGTGAATCTTTCCTCCTCCCCACCATTCCCCCCTTTCCCAAAACTTCACATAAATATGCATCCCTGAATGCTGATGTGAAATTGCCTAACATTTTTTTTATGTTTTGCTGCCTTGCTTACCTTTTTACTCTTGCACTTCCTGGTTTTCCTGTAGGCCGAGGTGACATAGCCCTGGCCGCATAGACATCCCGGGGGAAGGCAACGTCACCACTGTCTTCAGGGAAATCCCATACCTATTCTACGAGATCTGGCAGTATTGGCATACAGTGCATATTGGGAGGAAAGAAAAGCTTTTCCCCCTTGATCTCAGGGAAGGATTCTTCTTTTTTTTTTTTTTTTTTTTTTTTTTTCCAAAACAGATGCTGGTAGTGTCGTACGGTGCATAAGTGAGATGAAGAGCATAATGTGATGCGCTTCATCTCATAGATGTGCAGTATAATGGACATTTTTAAAATGGCTGTACAGCAACGAGGACCCAGGTGGTACAGAGTATTATTGTTTATTTCTTCCCTATTCAAGTATACAGGTTTATAGCATAGGGACAGAGGAAGGGGTGACCTCTTTCATGATGTGCTGATGATGTTTATGAAATATACTCCACTATGACACACCTTGTACTGCTGCCTGATCTTAGATGCGTACAGCCTGGTGTATGTCCACCAGTTGTGCCAATTGTTGTTAACCTTTGTTTAAAGAAGTCTAATTTCTTTTTTGATGATAGTGTTTTGTCCCATCTTTCCACGTGCCTTTGAAGGCTAGCTATGTGGTTGGACAGGATACTCCCCCCTCACCACAAGACCATCCGACAACTCTGCTAGCAAGGAGGCAGCTACATTAATAACTGCCGCTTGTCTATGGCTCCAAGAGCATTCCTGGGACAAATGCCAGTAAGAGGAATGCAAAGGGATGGGAAGAAGATTCCCCCCCCCCCCCTTCCCCACACTACCCCTAATGGCTGACAGATGGTGTGGGGGGAGGCAGGCCCATTCAACCACATAGCTGACCTTCCACAGGAAGATGGGGCAAAGTACTACATGTACTTTGTCCCATAGTGAACAGAACACTGTAATACAAATAGACATGAGACTTCTTTGCTAACGACATAACACATGTTTTTTCTAGTGATCTTGGATGTTTGATGCACTCAAATTTTAAGATAATAGGTTAAGTTCTCAAAACTTTAATCTACAGTCCTGTAAACTTACCATTTTCAAATATCATTGGACTCCGTAAAAAATTACTGCCACTTTTTTCCAAAAAAGGACGCTTATCCTGGCGCGTTAGCTTTGTGAACTGAAGGGGTCTACTCAATATTCCTTTGATCCATTTGACTTTTGACATGTGCATTACTCATTAATTACTCAAGAAATTTACTTGCTGGAAGTACACTATAGTTTCCATTTATTTCAGGATAAGCTAACTTCAAAAATGTTTTAAAAACAAAAATCATATCTTTGCCAAACTTGTATATACAGTATATGAATAAATCTGGTGAGGCTGGAGGGAAAGCTAGTTTGTCTTGTACTGTGTCTGTGTCATTGTCCTACTGGATTTACCAGTTGTGTTGCTCCACTTCTGATCCAATTCAGATGTTGATTAGGGTCAGTGATCCTTTCTGACAAATGCGCACTAACTGTAATCAAGTTCATATAGACACTTTGCTCCTAAAAAATCTCTTTTGTATACAATGTGATCTGCATTATTTGGTTTCAGTTCTGTAACTTATATATGCACAAGGCTTCTTTGTATGACCGTTTAAACATTTTGGTAAAGTAGATTCTAGGTCTCCTATGCCTCCATCTTTGTATCAGGTTGTTTTACATGATGCCTAGCCATGCCAACATTGGCTGTAAGCACAGTTCTAATAATATAAAGAATTATCTTCTTTTTTTTATTTATGTAGATAAAGGGGCTACGGATAATATGCAAAAATATCAATAAAATAGGCCAAGCAAGCAAAACTTTGGTACAATTACATGGGGTGTACAATTGAGCAACTGTTATGACAAAATATAGCAGTTGCAATTGTGAGGAGTTGAGAATAGCTTGGCCCCGCTATTAGAAATCTCATTCTGTCTCTATTGTCTCCTCTTTTAATTAGTAAAACATGGGGGGTCAGGGGTAGGTGAGGGTCCGTGGGGGCACTAATTGGGAATGGGGAGTAAGCTGAAAGGAAGGGATACTCAGAGCAGGATCGGTGGAAGGTAAGAAACTCGGGAGCGGGAAGAAAGCATGTAGGGGGAGGCTCATGGGCCCGGGCTGAACGGACCCAAACACCCATACAGGCTCCAAGTGGCATTTGAGGCCTGTCAGATTGGATCAGGTATGGTAAGAGCTGTATTCTGGTGTAGCAGTGAACGTTATCCAGTAGAACAAGATTTGTATGAATCTCTCTTCTTGGAGTCAGATCTGTCAAGCAAATTGTTTGGTAAACTCTTGAAAACTTATTTCCAGAGAGTTGGGATGCAGGATCTGGCTGCATTAAAGCAGAACTTTAGTCTTTCAATCAACATTGACTATTTTTTAATCCTTATACTACAAGCATTAGTAAATAGATCAAAAAAGTATATCATATCTACTTGTTCTCAACTTTTCACATTTATTCAGTTACATAGTTGGCCTGGCTGAAAAAAGACAAAAGTCCATCCAGTTCAACCATTAAAAAAAAAAAAAAAAAAGTTATAATCCTATACCCACAATTGATCCAGAGGAAGGCAAAAAAACCCAGCAAAGCATGATCCAATTTGCTCCTGCAGGGAAAAAAAATTCCTTTCTGATCCTCCGAGAGGCAATCCGATATTCCCTGGATCAACTTTACCTATAAATGTTAGTATCCAGTTATATTCTGTGTATCTTAGAAAGAATCCAGGACTTTTTTTTTTTTTAAGCAATCCACTGAGCTGGCCAGAACCAACTCTGGAGGGAGTCTATTCCACATTTTCACAGCTCTTACTGTGAAGAAAACCTTTCCATGTTTGGAGATTAAATTTATTTTCCTCCAGACATAAAGAGTGCCCCTTGTCCTCTGTGTTGACCTCAGGTTGAATAGCTCTACACCGAGTTCACTATATATGAACCACTGATGTATTATACATGTTGATCATATCCCCCCCTTAATCTCCTCTTCTCAAAGAGAGAATACATTCAGTTCCTCTAATCTTTCCTCATAGCTGAGCTCCTCCATGCTTCTTATCAGTTTGGTTGCCCTTCTCTGTACTTTCTCCAGTTCCCCAATGTTCTTTTTGTGAATTGGTGCCAAAAACTGAACTACATATTCCAGATGAGGTGTTACTAATGATTTGTACCGGGGGAAATGATATCTCTCTCTCTGGAGTCTATACCTCTTTTAATACAAGAGAGGATTTTGCTCGCATTAGAAACCGCAGCTTGGCATTGCATGCCATTATTAAGCTTGTGATCTACCAGACCCCCCAGATCCTTCTCCACCATTGATTCCCCCAGTTTTACATACCCCCCCC